GTGGCAGTGACCGAAGAGCCAGGTTTTCCGTCAACTTTGGTAGCAACCAAGTTCCAAACATCACTGTTGTCGAAGCCCTTCTGAATTTTCGGAACCGTTTGGAGAGTGGACGAGGCCCTGACCGTGGTCACTGCAATTGGACTGGCGGTGGTTGTTTCAGGCATATTTGAGCAAATGGTGGTATTGGCATTTAATGCCACAGATGACGCATTCTTAGCGCGCTGCCTAGCCTTCTTCCTCAGTCTTAATGCGGTGCCTGATGGGAATGACTAGGATTTACTCTCTGTCACGCTTTCTACAAAGGAATCGCTTTTGGTGCTCTTCATTTGTTCAAACACTGCCGCCAGTCTTTCGTACTTCTGCGATAGTTCATGTACAATCTTTACCAGTGGGGTGACTATACATACTGAACAGAACAACCATGAATCTGGTTTACTATTGTGTAGCTTCAACTGGTCCACTGTGAGCTTGGAACATTTGCGATGGAACTTGCCTTGGCAACTGTTACACTGGATTCCAATCCGCACATTTTTATAGCATGAAGGAAGGCCATGAACTACTGTCGATCTGGATGCGGTGACGGGATTTCGATTAGTCGCCACAATCCATTGCATCGCTAGAAGCCCGAATGTTTATGGTTTCCTGCCGGTCGCGTGTGCGCTGAATTGTCTGCATTGGCAAGGTCGTCACGTTCTGTGCGTCTGGCCCAGACGGGGCAGATTTAACCGGCTGGATCGTTCACGCGGCAAAACAGAGCGACTGAGCGATACGGACACAAAGTATACGATAGCTACTTTGATGGGCGATTCACAGCTGTGGTTACTGAATCGTTAAATGAAACGTGCAGTTGGCTTTCGTTTGAGACCACAAATATTTCTGTGTGGTTCGTGATTCGGAAAGTTCCTCGATTGCGTTTTTGCAGGAACTGTGCAAAAACCGCAATGTGGAGACAAAAGGCGATCCACACAAGCTAGGTCCGAAAGATGGAGCGCACCAGATAGCGCTGATGAATCTGCGTCGGATGAGTGTGAACACACGTTTGTGTGACAGAATGCAACAGAGAACGGCGGAAAAACAATTTGTTCACAGCTGAGCGAGGAAAGTTAGAGGAAAGGACAGTGCATTCGGTAAGGAAAGTGATAAATAGTGTATGTAACCAGCAACACTTATCTGAGGATTCACTTACTACCATGTTTGTTTAAGTCAAACGAATACCAAACAACCGTCCCTTAGTAGCGCCCAAAAGCGATAGTCGTCACGGGCTTTCTCTGACACCGAACAGCTTTTTGTTTAATCCGGCACGAAGTGCTAGACCTCCCTACCTTGGATATAGAGAAAAGTATACCAAGTGATGGAAACAGGTGAACTACATCGCCACAATTTCTTCTGTAAAGATGGATGACAGAATACCTCAAAACATTGCAGGTGCGCCAGAAGGGGCTGTATCCTAAAATGGAGCTGCTGGTCGACAACATACTACTAATCGTGTCCTAAAATGTATCTTGTGGCCGCTGGCCTCTTGGTCGTGTTGTTGATTGTGAGACTAATGCTGACGGATTAGTACGGACAGTTTCTGTCAAAACGGTTTCAGGGGTAGTGAGAAGAGACATACGATTATGCCGTCTAGAAGGCGACGAATAACAGCTTCCAGGCACGTTGTGGGTGCAGGATGGTACTCATGGAAAACGGCTTTCATCCAAACACACCCATGCCATAGGAGACGCCGAAAAGGTGCACGTGTTGAGAGTTATGGAGAACGAGTTCTTTCATTGTGCACCTGTTGCGATGTAAGCTTTTCCTAGACTAAACATACTTATCAGTTGTGAGGGCATGGTAGGCAACATTGGTCGATAGCCAGTTGTTAGGCACTCCAGACACAGACGCACAGAGGAATTTTGGAGAGCGTTGTAGCAGAGTTTGACATTGATTAGAAAATTCCTCTGAAAATGCCCTTAGTCATCACGTACACCCTACTTTTCGTCCCGCTCCATGAGCTTTCTTCTCCACTGCGAGGGTCACTAGCATGCTATTCGTGTCCGCAGATAACCCGCAGTTATTCCCCCCTCCACCATCGCGTGGGTTACACTGTTCACCACTACATATGCTCATAACCCTTTGCCATGGTTAATCATTCGCTTACGCATGCATTCCCTACAACTTTAGGCATATTTGCCCTCATTTGATGTGTGGGTATTGGGGGGGGGGGGCACCTGGTCTGTGACAACTTTGTACGTAGTTAGTTTCATTGTCTATCCATAAGTCACAGTGCTCGGGCCGTTTGTGCATGACAAGTGGCTTACTGTTAGCACCGCTCTTCGTTTGATTTACTTGCCTTGATTATCCGCGTTGAACAGTTGTGACATCGGTTTGCTGCCCATCTGTGTAATTGCAACTATCTGTGACGCAAACACCGAGACCCAGAACAACTGATGTATGTCCGATTTATATAAATGTATTTGCTTCAATAGTACCGTAGTTGTTGCGATCCAGCAACGTTTTGATTTCGGGATCACTGGCTACGTGTCACTCAACGTTCAGTCGGTGGTCACTGCAGGCAGAGCTGAGAGGAAGAGCTGCAGGAGCTGATACGTGGTATATATCAGTTGGAACGAATGGATCACCTGGGAACACATACCCGATAATGGGATACCACTGACACCGCTTCAATTTTCGTGGTGTAGATAATAAATGAACCGTCACAAATTGTGACGGTGTATCATTTAACAAATGACTGTAGATTATCCAAGTGTACGAGCCATGGCATCTCGGAGGAGCCGATCCCTTTTGAGGCAAGAAGTGAGCCGTGATGGACACAATGAAACAGGCTAATCAAAAGGAGTGAGGACTACAATTCCGATCACAACAGTGCGGGAAGAATATGGAGTATGGGTGGGATCCTTCAACATTGGATGTGTCCTGGCAGGCAACTGACGTCACATAATTCAAATGTGGGATCAATTGACAGCGATTGCACCTGGTAGCTGTATCCAGAAGACGCTATGACAAGGAGAAGAAAGGACAAGTGACTGCAACTCGGGTCGCCACATCAGTCGCACGGCGATTGTATTAGTATTTTCAGGAGGGGGCACACGGGAGTCCGTAATGGAACCAAAATCACACAACCTATGCCGAACTACATTCGGCTGTGCTGCACTCGCACTGATTATTGTGCGCGTGGTAACATTTGTAAGCACCGGACTTAGACCCGTCACTGAAGTAAAAGAAATACCCAAATCGCATTAATACAATAAAATGCGGTTCCGAATACAGCTAACGCACTACTAGCTCGTTTTAGCTGGACGTCATCAGGTAAACTGAAAAGGGCAAACTGCGCAAGTGTAATGAAACTGAATGGGCTCAACCAGCCAGGTTACAAACGAACCACAGTTAACTGCATCGCATCACCATGTAGCCAGCTAAAGCAGAGCAAGTGCCTTTTGGAAAATTTAAGCACCAATCATGATTAAACCGCGCAAACATGGTGAGCATTGGCCAGACCGTAGTGGTTCGAAAATTCATTCTGAATTTTAGGAAAACCATTTGATGCAAAGCATCGTTGGGTAAGCTAAGCAAGGAGTGTGGAATAACCCAGTAGATTCTTGCCAATCAGTCGATGAAATGGCTAATTCAAAAAAAGCAAGGATATTACGCCAACATCACCAAGCAGTGCTTTTAAGCGTAATTCATCGCATTCGCCTCTCAGCCAAGCAGGCCCCAAAGCCTAAATCTCCGCTACCCATTAGTGACCAGGCCGTGCGCCGACTCCCAAAGCAGAGCAGCTTACTACTGAATACTTGTCAGTAGGCTGAATAATACGACTGGGACAAGTACCCAGTCGATGGCTTCGCTATCCTCAAAAGTTGATACATGATCATTTAATGGTATTCAAAATGCATCCAAAGGTGGAGGAGTATTGACTGGGGCACGCAATTAGTGCAGCCAAACGGCGGCTACACATGACGATGCGAAGAGCAAGATGGGCGGGAACAAAGTAGATTGGTCGCATTGAGTTTGTGCGGCCGTCTACGCGGCTCCTGTAATGGGCTGACACTTGATTATGCTACACGGTATGGTATTTCAATGCAATGCATAGTATGTTACCATGCGGTGTATTATCCGTTCTCGTATTCTATAATGTTTCGCATCTCGCTTTTTCATATATCGTATTTTTTATATTGCGGCACAATAGCTGAAGTGTTTCCCACCTTCAGTTAATGATGTTGGTGGTTATATTATAGTTTTTCTAGCTAAATTAAATGAAGAACATCGTGTGGAGCAACGTCGTTATAAATGGCACCAACTTGGTTATTGATACGACAAGGACCAACTGTCTCGTTATGTTTTGTTGAGTAAATACTTGTACTTGGAGGATCGAGTTTAGAGACACGCATCAGGTCAGTACGTTAATACACTTCAGCGTTCGACTATAAGAAATAACTGCCACTCTCGTCGAGATCACCGAGCGGATTTGCAAGCCTATCCGCATTAGTCACCCGGCGTGCAAAGTGCACGCCGTTGTTGCGCAACAAGGTGATAGACGAACGTATATCAGTGTGACATCAACTGCCTACCGGAACATCTGTCTAGTGTTTGATTACGTACGTTTATCCGATATTTCATGAGTAAGGAATTCGAAAGGAAACAAGGATTCAACGAAAAAGTCAAATAGTCCCTCGCCATTTTGCCACTGTGATGAGCCTTCAATACGATTTGCACCTAAATCCCCTTCTAAATGGTGTCGTGCATAGCTTTTGTCAGCGGAAGCCGTGACCCCAATAGTGCGAACCTTGACCTCTGCAATGTCTGTAACTTGCATGGCAGTGGCTATATCGCACCTAACTTGTAAGTCATGACGGTGAACCGCCGTCGTCTGTGGCCTAGTCACATAAGCTGTTAGTGGTTAGAAGCTCGCCTCCGACTGGAGTCCCAATAGGAAGAAACGGCCATCTGCGGCCTTTCGGATTTGGTGGTAGGCTGTCTGACTTCGAAAGTACTGTGATGAAACCGCAACACATTTAAATCAAAATTCCTTATACATGAGTAAACATTTTTACGGAACGTGTGTATCTTCGGACGACACATAAGAAAGTGTGATACATCAGCTTAATAGTTACATCTGATTCATAGAAGTCAGTGGGGATAGACGATGCAATTCAGTCCGGCACTTCCATGAACTGGTCAAACAACGCCCATGGAGAGCTCAATCTCGCTCAGAGAACTCAACTCTTTTAAGCAAATGTCGGCTGGGAGGTGGATTTTCGTCATTGCAAGTAGCTGATGCCTCAATCGATCAAGCGTAGCCGTTGGGTCGGAACGAGTGTCTGAGATGGTGACGGCAAGAAAGGCGGATACCAGTTGCAGAGATTCAATGGCCATCTCAGTTTTAACGACTCTAAAAGACAAGCAGGTAGACGGTGAGAGATGAAACATCGCAGAATTTAAGCCTGCAAGACTAGTGCCGAAGCAGATACTAGTAAAGGAATAGAAACTATGTCATAAGTAGAAGTTCATCACACCTAGACAGTCATATAGTCATCAAACGCCCGGAAAAGCACTGTGCGGCCGTTTCATCCATTCGGGAAGCGTCAGCCGTGCGCAATTCCATCTGACACTGTGGCGCTCGAACCAGCAACTCGACTGTTGCCAGTCAGTGCTACGGGGGACGGTAACGACCGTCGTGACTAAAATACTAGATGCGATATAGCACCACTCACTATCCAATGACCTGCACATTACTGCCATGCAGAGGATAGAGTAGCCCCTCATCGAACCGCCAAGTAACTTGTGGCACTGAGAAGTTTGGTCTGCGTACTGATTGCAATGAAGTAGTATGGGAGGAGTTGAATCGCATAAGTAGAAGCTCATCACATCTAGACATCCAGCTCAGGGGTCTCAACCGCGGACTGTCAACAGTCGAGTTGCGAGTTCGAACCCTACAGGGCTCCGATGGAATGCGCACTGCTGATGATTCCCGAAAAGTGGAAAACGATATTATATGATATTACTGAAAGAACCACATGTTGATTAGATCCGTTTCCAAGCATGCTGTGTAGACTAACAGTAGATTATGTGGAGTGGATAAAGGAATGAAGAAATCACTCACCGTGCCTTCAGGTTTGGCACCTGCATGTGCTGTAGGGATTCAGTGAATGTATCTAACTCGGATTGCAACGAGTTCAACACGACGGCCAATTGCGCCTGTGTCTCAATCTCCGTTGCTCGGTCAGCGTGGGCTGTTTCGCTGATTTCATCCTTCGTGCCGGATGATCGATGTCGCCAAAGTTCACCTAGCCTTTCAGACAGGATAAGGATGTCACTGTATCGGATATACAAACCGACTCCTGTAGAAACAAGAAAGCACTGGTTAAAGGAAATAGTTTAATGAGGAAATACAAAAAGCGATCTGAATCGAACGAATTGGACGAAAAGCCAAACAATAAGGGCCTGAGACGATCCCATCACCAACGCGTGATCCCGCGAGGTAGAACGACAGTTCTACCACGTTGGGCCGCTAGATAAGGTGCACTTTCAAATGAACAATGAGTGAAGAGATGTGACATCTATGAGTTTAAACTAGAGTAGATAGGGATAAGGCCGAATGAAGCCTAGTGCGCTGGGTCATAGAAATGAAAAGCTATCAGCGAGTCAGAGGGAAGAAGTGTATGGACCCGAGCAATTGTATTTGGACGATTGTTTGAACAGATCAGTCATCTGTGAAACTCGACACGGTGAGCCAGGGTACTTTCATTTCAGCGCGCTGTTAGGTTATCACATTGAATGAACGCATTTGCAAATTCTTACAGTACAACGTGCAACAGCTGGCCACGCAGACAGAATACTGAGATTATGCAGCGAGTAGAGTTGCCTCTGTGTAGCTAATTCTAATATCTTTTAACCAAATCTACCTATGATGATGATGCTTATTCTCGAAATCTCAAGTCGAGTCCAAGAGTTTCTTAAACTCCGACACAAACTTGCTTCGACTATACCTGCAGGCAGATTGTTCCAAGTACTCACCACCCTCCGCTCGAAGTAAAGTTGGTGAGCGACCAGCTTCAAATCCGGTACGACAAGCTTGTGAAACGGTGTCCTCGTGTGCTGTTTGGTGTGCGCAGATGAAGCAGTGGCCTCAACATGGGGTAATCACCTAGATGTAATATTCGGTGCGTCATGATGAGGTCAACCCGCATTCGACGATAAGACAGGGTGTACAACCCTAGTCCCTTGCACCGGTCTTCATATGGCACACCTCGTAAACCGGGGATGAGCCTTGTGACAACATGCTGTACCCGCTCAATCCTTTGAACCTCGCCCCGAGTGAGCGGACAATGGCTGGGTGAGCTGTACTCTAGCATTGGTCTGATAACAGAAGAGAAGAAGCGGGTGGCAACCTCTTCGGACCAAATGCAGAATCTGTGTTTGAGCGCACAGATCATGCGCATTCCGTTTTGGTAAAGCCTGTCCGTGTTTTCAACGGATTTCAAATCGCAGCATGGGAGCACGCCGAGACTTTTCACGGATGGCGACGGGTGTAACTATTGGCTGGCCAGATTGTAGACTCTGCCATTAGCACCCTTGCCCAGACTCATGAATACCGACTTGACTGGGTTGATTGGAAGGTTCACCTTCGCTGACCACATACAGAAGCGGTCAAGGTCACGCTGAAGCAGGTCGCAGTCGTCGGGCGCCTCAATTATCCTTCACACCTTAAGGTCAGCTGCAACGCGTACGGTGAACTGAGAAGCTGAGGTAAATCGTTGATGTGGATCACGAATAAAATGGGCCCAAGGACTGTGCTCTGCGGGACGCCACCGGTCGAGGGATACCACTCGGTCAAGTGGTTGTCCACCTGCACCCTCCATGTCTGACCAATAAGGAAGTCACTGATCCACTGGTGCAGTGAGCCACAAACACCGCACATCTTCAGCTTCCGTAGGAGGATCTCATGGTTCACCTTGTCAAACGCTTTACTGAAGTCGATGTAAATGACGTCAACCGACTTCCTTTGGTTTAGCGCTTGCAGCCATTCGTGCATCGAGAGCAGCAGGTTTGTGATGCATGACTGACCTTTCATGAAACAGTACTGCACGAGCGTCAAGTTGCTTTCCAACTCGAGATGCTGCAGAAGACCACGCTTCACGATCGTCTCGAGTGTCTTAGCCAAAACAGAGGTTAGGCATATCGGCCGGTAGTTGTCCACCTTGCTCGGATCGCCGCCTTTCGGAATCGGTTTCACCGCTGATCATTTTCAGTCGCTCGGCAATGAACCGGCGGACAGCGACCTGTTGAATAGCTCAGTCACCGAAGGCGAGATGATAGCCGATAGCGATTTGAGGATCAGCGGATGGAGCCCATCAGGCCCCGCAGGCTTGGTAGCGTCAAGACTGGCGAGCAATTTGCGCACATCCTCAACGCTGCAATCCAGGCTGTTCAGCTCGGCAGGGGGCGGTATGCGACAAACTCGGTACGGATGGCTGGTTATCTGCAAAAACGGAAGCGAAGTGTACCGCCAATGCAGAAGCACGCTCAGCACTGGAAACTAGGGGTTGTCCGTCCGAGCACTCCAACACAGGCACATCACCTGTCGGCTTCAGGCGTCGCTTCACGTATGCAAAGATCCTCTTGGGAGCTGTTTTTGCTGCGGTTGCAAGCTGCTCTTCGAAGCATCGGCGTTTGCTCGTTTTCGCGCTGTTGCAGGCATTTCTTTGCCTCTTGTACGCCTCGTAATCTTCCGCAGAGCCAGATTGCACGAATTTATTCCATAGCCGGCGTCGCCGTCGAGCCAGTTTGCCATACTCCTTGTCAAACCAGTGTGGTTTGACTGGTCCAGCTTTCCTATATTTGAGGGGCACAAATCGGGTGCACAATGATTTTACTCCCTCTTTTATGATAGACCAACAGGCTTCAACTGATGAATCCTGTGCTAGCGACCAGTCCATCATGCTGGCGGCTCGAGTGAGGTCCTTAAAGTCCGACTTCCAGTAGCTGAAGGCTGGCTCCAGCGGAGGAGTAAACGACAGTGGTAGCTGTAAGCTCGCCAATACCATAGAGTGCTCACTCGCTCCCAGGGGCTCCAAGAACTGAATGTCATGCACACGTTGCTCACAGCTGGTCAGCAACAGGTCCAAGCACGATGGAGTCGAGCGCGCGATAATGCGCGTCGGCTGATTGATGTGCTGTGTGGCCCCAGTTTCAAACATCATCTCCGCAAACTTCGTCTCGACTTCGCAGTGGCCGGGGAGAAGCTCGACCTCGGGCCACCGTATTCGAGGAAGGTTGAAATCGCCCATAAGCAGGAATTGCGGACGACTCATGTGATTGCGTACATGAAGCAACCAGTCCAAGCTGCGGCTCAGTGGACTGCGATACACAACACCCACGGGGAGTTCGCCGCCTCTCAGATGGATCGAACACCATAGCTGCTCACACAGGCCTTCACCGCTTCTGTAGATGCTCGCGAGTCTCCCGCATAAGGAAGACCGTATGTATAGCAGCATGCTACCGCGGTCATTTGATAGCCTATCACAGCGGAAGCAAGAATATCCGCTGATTTCGACTTCTTGCGCGGTTATCTCTGAACTTAACCAAGTTTCAGCTAGGCCCAATACGTCTGGTTGCCGAGAGGCAACAAAGTGGCAAACGTCGTCACGTTTGTTCATTAGACTACAAACATTCGTAAAGGCTACACGCAGGCCGCGGTAGGAACCGTCGGGCGTGCGTGAAGCATTAGCGACCTGTTCATCCGGATTCGGGGAGGAACCGGGTAACTATTCGGAAATTTACAATGCAGTGATTTGTTTCCCCGCCTTCAGTGCGCCGCTTTAGTTCAATCACGGCAGACTTGTTTTTCTCGGTCTGCTGGATCCATGTCTGCGCGCACATGAATCTTCAAACCCTTAAGTCTACCGAGGCGCGATAACATCAACTACGGACCAGCTTCGTCAGTAAGTGACCTCATGAGTCGGGCTTTTCCCTGTTTTCTTTCCCAAACGGGCAATTTGCTTCACTTTCAGCCCGTCTTCACTGACGTCAAGCAGTCGTCTATCAACCAAATCCTGCAGAAACTGGACATCGTATTCATAGCGAACCGGAGGGTCGAATCCGACGATTCAAGTTACGACGCCTCAGGCCGCTGGACGTAGTTTTCGGTTTCTTTGGCATTTGCACCTGCCAGAGGTCGTCACTACCTGGTTTGTTGCACCTTCGAGTTGCAGTGTCCGTCGAGGCAATAACAGGTGGTAAACAGGAGATACTCGGTGATCCAGAGACTCGCTCAGAAAAACTGGTAATAGGCGTGTAAGGTGCTTATGTTTGTGCCTGTTGCGTACAAGTTATAGAGCTTCGGGACTTGGAACGCCTCACTTTACCGGTCCGTTGATTAGTTTTCCCAGGGAACTTGGGCTGCAGTTTGCACTATCACCCCCTTAGATAAAATCGTGTTGAATCTCGCTGATAACGCGAAACGGGTCCACAGGAAGACAAATACACGATATGTGAAACTTCACCTGGCAAACGCAACATGAAACAGCGTTTCCGCGACGCCCAACGCTCTTAAAGCAACTTCCGCAGGGAGACTGCCTCAAGAAGTTTAAATTTACCAGTGATCGATAAGAAAGAATTTGAGAAAGAGACAAGCACGGGAAATAGACAGGGATAGGACACGTATTAATGACAAATAGATTCGGAATCACAAATGAGGGAATTACATAAAAATAGACGGATAAACTTGACTTTAATAATGTAAATAACGAGGAAAACCGGCCTAAAGAAGCAGCAAGAGCAGGCACTATAGAACGACAGAATAACTGACGAAAACATTCATCATCACCAGTATAAACGTAAGATAGAGGTGGGAAGCACATCAGCTATTTAGGCGTAATTGTTTGACGAACGATTCATAGTATTGCGTGGGCAGGATACTGTCAGGTTGCCCAGCCTAGACAGGAGAACGATTAGGGTTCTCAACCAAAGCCTTTGGTTCAAAGACCTGACCACAAGAAAGCGGGTTTGGCATTAGGTGCTAGTTTTATGAAATGAGGAGCCACACTCATTCCAACCCCCAACCTGGAGGATCAGAAAGCTGAGTTTTTCTGGCCTCTAATCATTGACTAATCTAGTATGAGGGGTGCTGAAGGTGTAAAAAAGCACCACCCAGAATAGCTCAATGGATCTCTGAAGCATGCAAACCATCGCACCACGGTAAGGTCCAGCCCCATCGCGATGGACTGCCGAAAACAGACAACAGTATATTACTGAATAATCCAGAACCGCAAAGAATACCGAAGTATACAACTGAAGACAAAAATTGCGATTTGTAACAAAAACGGAACAAACTGGCCTGGGAGCAGAGCGACTTATTTTGAACCGACCGCCGTGACAGACAAAAAAAGTTGGTGAATCGCCGAAGCAGTATATGATTGAACATCAAGATCAAGGCATGGACGACTGAAAGGCACGGATGCCTATATAGGGACATCCGTCTGGTCTAAATATCTCGCCGCTATTCAGCGTGAAAAGGACTTAGGCAACCGAGTCGATTTTTGTCGCTTCCATTAAGAGTGGAGCATGGAGCGAAAGCAGCGTCACATGCCCGAAAAGTGTAAAACTGTCAAGAAAACGTGACAGTTATTACGATCGCATAATACAAAAGTGGATGGAACTGCGAGTAAATATTGATGAAACCGTCAGTGAGTGAGTCGTTGTGTGCAATGAAGTTCTCCATCGTCATGACACCATATTGTAGCCAGAACTCCCCACCTACAGTCCACGTTCCGAGAGTGGAGAGGTAGAACGTCAACAGCTACCGAAAGTGGTCGTAATAAGTCAAATAAAAAGTCACAGTTAACCGGTAATTACTCGCCTGAACACGAGTGACCATCGCGAAATTAAATTTAAGGCCTCCTATACTAACATCATATACATGTAACTGTTTAAATCATCTGGGTCATTCACGAATGATATTTGGTCTTTGCCATAAAAACCTTTATGCTCCATAAACACCCAATCACTGTCTCAGTTTGTGGATCCTGCGGTTCATCGTTGCAAGGATATATTCATGAAAGACAATGTCACGTTAGTATCGCATTCATGAGAGTGATACAAACATGTCTCGATCACATATCACGAAATTGTGATCTATGATGTTTCTGATTTTTTCAAAGAACCTGCCAAGATATTGGCTCCAAATGTGACCACATAACTACGGCTTTTCGAATGAACAACAGACCGAAATACTTGGGCTAATCGGGTTTGATGAAAACTATGAGTAGCCCAAAAAACCGCCCAGATCAGCCCAGGAAAAGATATTGTTCTACAGGTTTGGGTTCATGAAGACACTTAGCCTGGTTAATTTATCCTCAACTGGTCAATATCGATGGATCACACACTGTCCAACACCTTTCACCCAAGGGGCTAAATTTTACGGGCAAACTTTCCGTTAATTGCCATATGCAGATCCTCAGGTTCGAACTAGCAAAGAACCCAATTCCAGGATTAACATGATGCGAATTAAGTCAGGGTTTCCGAAAGCGTAAGTTCCCCGGTAAAAAGTAACCCAGGATGAAATTAAGTCAAAATGCTGCACCACCCATAAAAAATAACCCCAAGCATTGAAGAGGTGATTGAAACTGGACAGCGTACTCTAGTATGGTCTATCACAAACACCTTTGTGCTGAGGAAGGATTGATCAAGGCACCTTCTGATGAACCGTAGTTCAACAATACCCTGGCATTTGTGAGCACGGCGCTACTAGTGACGAATGAGGCAGCAGCGTTAACAAATTAAGAGCACTTCTAGCACGGAAACAGAGTAGATCTTGGGTAGCATATCATGCGATTCCTAGAAACATATGACAATAAGAGAGGATGGATGGTAACATGAGCTTGTGGGACAGGATAGCGCGCCTACCGGTGGCAAAATCGTCCGGTAAAAGTCCGACACTTAAGGAACGAAAAGGTTGAAGCAGACTTTGCAGGCGGTGACCAAGCTGAGAGACACTCGATGGCTGTCCGGGAGTGAGAGGAATCGCAGTGTTGCTGGAACCAAACGAACGGTTGGTGCGCAGTACCAAGTCCGGAAGTAAATAGCTGATACACACTTCGTGTGCTGCAGCGATGTGATCTGCCGCAAGCCAGTGTGCCGCTTCAAGAATGGCGAACAGGCGGGCTTGCAACTGTGCACGTTTTAATTGGACGGGGGCACATCTGCTGAGACCGGATACGGTCGGATTGAATGGTTGGTGATATCCAAGAAATCTGTGGTGGGCCAACACAGCCTGGAAGGGAAAAGAGAAAAGGGGATATTGGTATCGTTGCTTCATCTCAAAGCATCGAATAATCTGAATACGATTAGTGATCCCCGAATCCGAAAGGATGGGTTGAAAGCAGATTGGAGAGTTGTGTGTACTGTTGGTCAGCGTCATTCTAAGGAAGTATATGAAAATGACCAACGGCGGAGATCGTGGGATAAAGTATTGTGGTTACTGAATAGATTAACCATTAGTAGACAGAGCATAAGCCTCAAAACAAAAGCCGCAACAGTGCACATTAAGAAAGCGGTAGTCAGAAAATTGAAAGCAACTACCGCGAATCACGTGTTCACACATGCCTTACTGGAAAACAATAAGGAACCCACGCAGTGCGAAGAATATGCCAACAGGTACGGAGTAAGCAACGTAGGCTAAATTCCAGAATCAATAAACACGATACCGCTAAGAAGCGCACCTATTGAGGCAATAACATAGCAGCCTATTCCACTGCGAAGTGCATGAGAAACATATCAATTACAATGCCGGTTTAACAAAGCCGTGACTCGTTAAAGGAACAGCCCCGGACAGCAGCCGAGTTTCATCACTGCAGCGATACAGACGAGTAAAAGGATGCGGTACTTCGAAATAAAGCATACCTAGCACCAAGCAAATGCACCACACCGTTGTAATTATGTGAGAAGTCCAGCTACCAGGTGAACGGAAAACGCATCTTTGTTCCAACGTCTGTTATTGCAATGTCAAGCCAGCGTAACGATGAGAGAACAGATTCGCATGTATGCTTCTTATATATATATATATATATATATATGCGGATTTTGAGCGGTTCTCCGAGTTGACTGGTTATTGTGCAGACGTTTCGTTGCCTGACTAGGCAACATCATCAGTGCGGTTTCAGGGGCCTGGTTCGCAGTGCCTCGTAAGCGACTTCAATGTCCAAGTGCTTATTGATCGAGTTCTGCTTTGAATGCCAGGCTTCAATGAACTCACGTGCTTGCCGGCTTTTAGCCCTTCCGAGGATACTGGTATGCTCTATGTCGAATTGATGGTTCTCAGCATCCATGTGCACTGACATCAGGGAGTTCTGATCGTGGCGACGTATGGCTACGCTGTGTTCGTGTAATCTTGTGCCAAGCGTTCTCCCAGTCTGTTCCACGTAGTACTTGTCGCAGTTCCGACAGCAGATCTTATAAATCACACCAGTTTCTTCTTCTTTGCTAAGTTTATCTTTCACCTTGAAGAGTTTGCTGCGAATGGTTTCCGTTGGCTGGTGTGCAACTTTGACTCCAAAAGGCAATAAAAGCCTCGCTGCCATTTCAGAGATACCGTTGATATAGGGAAGTGTTGTTCTCTTTTCAGCTGGTACATTTGTCGAGGTGTGTTGAGTAACCTTTTGTGATGCGAGGCAGCGTAGAATGAAGCCTTTTGGGTACGAGTTCCGCTTGAACAGGTTGAAGAGATGATCTTCCTCTGCCCGTCTCAGCTGCGGTGTGCTACCGTGGGGTTGTGCTCGTATGAAAAGGGTTTGCACGCAGCTGCGTTTGTGGGCTGCCGGATGATTGCTGGCGTAGTTGAGGATCTGGTCCATATGCGTAGATTTTCGGTAGACTGTTATTTCCAATCGTTCAGCACCAGTCCGTCGTATGAGAACGTCTAAGAATGAAGGTGCCCTATGCTGAGGCTGATGTTGCATTCATGATGCTACTTCACCGCAGTTGGGCTAAACCAACTTACACTTAAACTAGGTCTTCTTAAGCTGGATAAAATTCAATCCACCTTATTGGTTTATTCTGCCTACCTGTACAGTCTTCTATTAACTTGTACACGATGTATACGTTAATTGTGATTATCTTCGTTAAGTTATCGCGATTGTAACATTTTTTGAAAAAGATGATTATTTTGTACTTATTGCGGTTTTATTGTTAAGAAACCTGCTTCATACGCTAATTTAGCGAAGAGTTATGTCTACATAGCCGTACGCTTTAACATATATAGTTTATATGATAATGTTATTTTAAGTGGTTGGCTGTTGTTTGATATCCCCGGTGTGGCTGCGCTTGATGTGAATGGTGACAAGATACCTACCTGTCTATCACCCACCACGTCCTCGATATTGGCTCCAGAAGACAGTTGGTCATTGCTGGAGGGGACGGGGTGCACGGTCCTTGTGGCCGTGTTAGGCTCGAAGAGTGGTTCCATGCACTCAGTATGGAGCGGACTACGGTCCAGCCACCGCCTTGTGTGCACTTGATTCCCCAAATACAGCGTACTTGTGTTTGCCTGTGAAGGAGTGTGGGCCGGCTCCGTTGATGAGACGTGGCTCCCATCCGCATGCCTCCCGGTCTTATTCCTTCAGGTGTACACTGGATATGGGGTGTGTAGATGGAGCTGTGGGTGGTGCAGCGCAAGTCACCCATGGCCCGTGTAGGCGCAGGCGTCCTGTGGCTGGCCACAGTGACACGCAAATCCGAAACCGGATGTCGCCAACCATATGATGCATGCCGTGGAATGTTCTCGCTTACATGGTATGTCAAGCATTTGCTTTATGTGCCAATTAAGGGTAAATATTCCGAAATGAGATAGATAAGTGCAAACACATGGGACTATGGCAATTCAGCACAGAAAGAAACGGGGCCTCATAAAACCAAATGGTCTGGGCGATGTTTGGCCGAAGAGTTACTTAATGGTCCTGTGTATCCGGTACGTGTAAGCATCATGTGCTGTGATTGAGGAGGATGTGAATGTTGTAACGTATGGTTCATCTCCCAAGTGTTTGTGCAGAAATGCTTCCTTGAGATCTTAAGTGAGAAACCGATCGGTGTAGTTAAGCTGTCTGCTGCCGCATTTTTTTCGTGTCTTAGAGTGACACACTGGGGCGGGCTGTGGCTAGCATGAATGCAGGCAATGCTTTGATGATAACCGCTAAACGTGTACGTCTAGTAACTGTCATGCTGAATGTTGTCGTCCCCCATAAGCAAATAGCTTTAACCACAGACTCGTAATGTACCATTTGAATCCTTTTCCCGCAGACGACCCGACCGAACACAATCACAAATGCAATGTTATGTTTACAAAGCTAAGCAACATACATACATATACATGCACACAGATCCAGTATGCTACTGGTAAGCTTGCTACATTATTCTATATATATCGATCATTCGTGTTCATATCACCTTGATCATGCCTATGAAGCCATGCCTCGCATCGTCGAGAATAAAACAGCTATTTATCTAATCAATAAGAATACAGGCTTTAGCCTCCCACAGGGGTCAAATGGAATGCGCATTTCCGACGATTTTTGAGAGGATGAAATGAACATCTAGTGAAGGCCAGGTTTTGGAGCTCGAGAAAAGTGAAAAAATTCTAAAGAAGGAAATACCACTAACCTTAGCCTCATGGACCCAACGGGCGGGCACACCGAGCTTGATGATAAAGTTCTCGGCGCGCGTGAAAGGAGGAGGTGGGGCTAGCGATAATTCATTCAGTCGATCTGCTGCAACGTCTAGCGATCCAAATGACCCAGATGCCTGAGAAGTTTTGGATCTGGGTGGAAGCACTAAAGTGGCATGACGCGTAACGACAGATTTCACGCACGCATCGCGCATGGTTTGATCACGGAGATGTAACAACACAAAAACAGCCCACTCCCACAATCCGCCGTCTTCCAGTTGAGCGGCAAACTCATGGCAAATGCGCGACAGTGTGTTCGGAGATGCAAAGTGTCGATACCCCAGTGCGTGTAGCACGCGCCAGACATGCCATGATGGAGCCCAGTCGAGGAGTGACGATGGGTCAGCAGTACAGGTGTTCGTCCTAGCACATCGTTGTTGATGTACCGAGCAGGGGTCCAGTGTGCGCTCCAGACTATGAGGTCCCTTACAAAAGAGCTGGAGCAGATGATATGCGGTGTCACGTGGCCATGAGCGAAATTCGGGTGAGGCTAAATGCAAGTAGGAGAATATGAATACAACCAATACGAAGAGTCATAGCATGTCCAAAGATGAGTAAAATGGTAAAAGTAAATTGCCAGTTGTACACCGTAACGGCGCTTCGCTCTTGCGCGACCACTACCAGTCGCGTCTGGGCTAAGTATACCGCGAGGACGCCCGCCCCTACGCTAATTCGAATCAGTGACCTTAATGATTGTAAGCCGGGTACGCAGACCATTCGATCACCGGCCGACACCCAGAGATGAAGCATTACCAGTACGTTCTTTGACAGAACGATCAACATGGATGAACCACGGTCCAATGAAGCGTGTGTCTAAGGTAAGACTATCAAAAAATAGCGCAATATCTTGAGAAAAGCCGTACAGTGATGGCATGCGGCTGTGCACAATAGACAAATATTTTAAGTTCCGAGAATAGATTCAACGGTAGAAATAAGATTATCACTAGAGTACAAGGATTCGCAAGTTGAGCAAAATGAAGACCTTTAATTGAGCATTATCAGCCAATAAATCCTTATGACTCACTGGCACGAAAGCACAAGTGTATGCACAAGTAAACGGGGCCAAGAGCGATGTATAATCACTCTAATTATAGATGCAGACGGTGAGAACAAGCAGAGCTAGCAATGGTAATGTGGACGATCAAGAATAAGCTGAGAATCACTGTCGCGTCAATAAGTATTGTCATCACACTGGTCCAGTGACAGGCCAAACTCCCGTAAAAGACGAGATTCAACAGCTCATCGTCATGAAAATGGACGGTGAGTTGCGATGTGAGTCAATGAAGTTGAGGGGATCGCGTGGATCATAGTTGACTGGCTGAACTGGGGAACAGCGCTGGGCACAGACGCCAGACCGAGGTACCAAAGTTGGTTGAGTAAACCCATGAGGCCACCTAGTTGTACGATTGTTGAACAATACATTGAAAGATGTTGAAGTCTTTAAATGGAGGGAAACAGCATAAGAAGCTAAACAAAAACTCACGATTCCTGGGGCGATAAGGAGGAAAGTCTGTAGGCGACGTGGAGACTAAAGGTGGCGAAACGAGGTCGCACAGTTTTGGCGGGATCGGTCGAGGGATGGTAACCGCAGATAAAGTAGTGCAAGAGGAATGCCAAGCCGAGCTATATGCACTGATAACATCCGCCACGTCGCTGGAGTAATCCGTCATGTACCACAGGTAAGCACCGAATGCGCGAATCCAATCAACATTTTCCAATACAAACACATCGGTTTGAGATTGCTTCGGATGTGGGAATACAGATTGCCCAGCCAGCAAAGCGTAAACACACAGCACATTTAATGGGATATGTTGATCGTACTGAAGAGCAAAGTGAAGTAGGGCGGGAAAACATGACGAAACGTGTGAGCGGCTGGAGGTGGCCAATGCGATGAGTGTGACGAAGATACGTGATGGAGTCGCTCTAATGTATGGGCTTAAGCACACTATTGGATCAAGAACCGAAGAAATTATTCATATAAAGTGAATTCGTTGAGATGAATAGATCGCAAGACAGGATGAACTAACGTCATCATTCATTGACTACTATCTTTACTGAAAGCAACAACGTAATTGCTTGGAGATCTCGGCCGAGTAGGAAACACCCAAATATCCCGAAAAAGATGACTACCATGCTCTGATTAATTTGAGTGCGGCCTGATGGTTGGGCGGTCAAATCAACGAGTTTGCTAAGATCACTATCATCCCAAAGATTTAAGTATCCAGTTTAACTGTTGACAACAGTTGTGGAGTGACAACACAAGCTTGCAGAATGATACACGTAGGGTTAGGAAGTACAGAAGGATGAGCACCTTCCACCGGATGCAACAATGTACATCCCAGAACGGTTGCGATACACTGTACATGCTCGGATACGACTTAATGACTAGAATTTGCTGGAAGAGCGTTAGAGAAAAAAGGAACTTTCGAATCAGGAGAATGAATGAAGCTATCAAGGCAGATAGGTCCAGCGATCCGGTGCATTAAAAGTACAACATCGTCGAGCAGCTCTGACCATGAGGTCGCCGATCATGTGAGGAAGCCTGTCTAACACACCCTCTATCCTACATTGTCGGCTGACTTGACGTTTGGTCAATACATCAACCGGTGAGTTGAAGTCTTGGTTCTGACGGCTCCACAGTTATGGCAGTAAAAGGTGAATGTCGACTATTAACTTGAAAAGCCACAGCCACGGTGACAACACCGAATGACCGCTGCTAACACTTACCTTCAAGTCATGCCACACTACTAGCTGGCGTTGCAAACCCCGTCGAACGAGAGGATCGCTTGCTGAGGAGTGAGCTAGTAGACTGGCCAGATTGGGCATGCAGGCTGCGAGGGCCAAGCGACAAGCGGCACCAGGTTCACCAGCGAGCAAACAGTAGAAAATTCCTTTGCCAACATCATCTGCAGATACCTTCTTCGACAGTGGGAACGGAGGGTCCAGCAAAGCAGAGCCATCCGAACTGGTACCGTTTCTGGGTTGACATACGTGAAGCAGATTCAAATGGCTCAACTGGTTCAAAAGCCACGGGTACGATTGAGCCCTGTGAAAAGACCGAGAGGCAAATGAGAAATAAGACAGAGTGTGCGGATGAGCGTAGGGGTCGAAGTTGCAATTAGATTAAAAAATAAACAGTTTAGTTCGGTGCTATACATCCCGTTATCCAGTAAGTCAATCGTATGTCAGATACTTGAACTATGTGTCTTGTAACAAAGGCATGTGTAAGAAAGAAAAAATAAAGCGGATGGGGAACAAAAATAAATAGGTTTGGCTTCAGAGGGGGGAATAGGATATAAATGGAGCAAAGATATAGAAAGAATTTCGGCAACATATAGGATACTGATTGCGACTAGGAACAGCCACAGGCAACTCCGGAAACCTGCCGGAACATGAACGTTTGCAAACGGATAAGTCATTTGAAAACAGGTTCTACATACCAATGCAGCGACCAGACCACCGTGTAGGTGGTGGTCATGCCTTTCACCAGGTGGATGTATACGCAAGCAGTTCAAAAAGCTTAGTCCGGATACGTGAACGCGCAACATATGAAGTAGTCTTTGGAAGTTGCGAGGCAAGGGTACAAGGTGGTGGCAAATTATTCTTTAGATTTCGCTTCCGCCAGTAAAACTCCGAATATTCCAACCTGCATAAAACGCATGTGAACGCGCTAATTCATCTGAAGCCCACTCAGACTTCATCAGAATAACCATGTCCTTCATGTTAGCAGGTTAAACTAAGTTAGATGTGGTCACGTCAAGAAAAAACACGAGTCGCGCTAACTGAGATTCTCAAGCTTATGTGCGCCCTTATTAATCCTACCTTACTTTTTTAACCCGCCCACGCCAAAATAGAGGCGCTAATGTCCGCGACATACATAAGATGACATGCTAGTTGAATACCATGGGTGCTCAATGATAGTGTTTACTTGCTTCCCTGTGGCTCCGGAGACCAACCGCTGTTCTCTGCAAGATTAGTAACCTGCACGACAGTGGTGGATAGCTTGTACTATATCCTAGTTCGCTTGCACGCTGTGACGGTCTGTCACCGTCTCGCGTGGCGTAAGCTGTTGGCTAGTTGGCGCAAGCTACTAGCGGTCGAGGGTTCGGTTCTTTGCAGGGGAACGAGGGAATACGTATTATTACCATCATTATACACGTTAGCTGCAGCTGGAAAACACCTCAGCTGTTGTGCCGCAATATAAAAGAAAAATAACGTGAAACAGATGCACGCCGGTTGACTCATGAGTAACGGGTGGACATCGTTCCGGAGAGCTAACAACCGGCTATTGTGCTGCAAAAAAGTCATATTACGCCTAATAATTGAAATCGTGGTTGGAGGGGGAGGGACAAAGGAATTCACCACACAAACGCCATTGAGGTCGGCTCCTAGCCATGTCAACAAGTGCATGCAGCCAAACGTATTCAACGTCCTTCGGTCCCCAACCAGGGAGCAGAGACGCTCCAACCGAGACCAATCTCAAAGTAAGGGCCTTCATTCTTCTCGACCAAGCCATCGCTTGGCCACCTCTCCTCTTCTTCCAACCACAACCCCGGAGCGCAAACAACGCACGTCGCGAGAGTCGGTGGGCTGGCATGCACAAAACGTGGCCCAGCCATCGGATCCTGGTGCATTAAATAACAGTGCTGAGAGGTTCGTTTCTTCTTCCTGCGCCATAAACAAGGCGTCGAACACGCTCATCGCTCCCACGGTGTTCCCACCAGATAGGAGCCAAAATGCGAAGGTACCGGTGGTCGAATGTAACTAGCCTCCTTATGTCTGCTGATCTAAAGGGCCAAGTTTCACAACTGTACAGTAGAGTCGAACGTACGGCTGCACTGTACACTCTACCCTTCAGGGAGAGGGTGATGTCGCGCCGGCGCCATAGGTGGCGAAGTTTAGCAAAAGCGCCCTGTGCTTTTTACTATACGGTTTGTGACATCGTCTTCAATTCCAACGGTGTTGGTACAACTACCTAGGTAGTTGAACTTTTGAACGACTTCTAGCTAATCCCCACCAAGGGTAAGCGCAGGAGGCGGTCCCTGCCAATCTTGGAGGAAAGTTTTACACTTTGAAGGTGCAAAGCATAGCCCGAAACGGGTGACAGCCAGTGCTAATCCGTCCAGCGCCGCTTGGCACGTGTGTGAGCTGTCACATATGAGGGCAATATCGTCTGCAGACTCAAAGTCAAGAAACCGTTCACCTGGAAGTAGCTCCACATCTTCTAAGTCGTGTCCTTTAAACACAATTTCCATGACTTCATCAATAGTGAAATTGTAGAGCGGTGACAACTTGCTGTAAGCGCTCACTCTGCCAGAGCAACGCGCGTAAAGCGCTCGGATAATACTCACATACTACTCTGGTACACCTTCCCTTAGCAGACAGTCCCAAAGGACATGTCGATCCACAGAATCGAAGGCACCTTTGATGTCGATGAACACGACAACAAAGGTGGGCCGCCAAGATACGTGACGGTGCCCCAACAATTGGCGTAAAGTGAATATGTTGTCGATGCAGTCACGACCACGACGAAACTCGGCTTGCTTCTCGCGAATCTGGCTTTCACAATCGCCAGTCAGTCTATGAAGGATTACGAAGGCAAGTAATTTGGAGGCGATGAAGATCAGACTGATTCGTCTATGGTTGCCGCATTCCTAACGTGAGCCTCCTTTGAAGATCGGGACAATAACGGAGCGGCTCCAGTCGGTTGGGTCAGTTTTCTGCTCCCACAGTTTCACTAGTAATTCGTGTGAATAATCAACAAGGGCAGGGCCCGAACTTGAAGAGGGCTGAATGAAGATCATCTGGTCCCGCGGCATTATTTAACTTCAACCGTCCGATCTCACGTTCGACTTCTGAGCGAGAGGGCGGATCCGAATGGACAGCCCAGAGAGCAGAAAGATCACGGGCCGGTGAGGAAGTTAACAATTCTGGTCGATTAAATTGCTTTTCAAAATGCTCAGCCTAACGTCCTAAACGTATTGACAAGTTGTGGAGAGGCTGTCCACTCTCGTCACGTATAGTTTCACTAACTCCAGGTCTCCTGCTGCCTGTTTCTCGTATCAGACGAAACAAGTTTCGATGGTTACTAAGGACAGCCGCCACTTCCATCTCCGACGCCCGATGAGACTACCAGAATTCGCGGTCTCACTTCAAGCTAGCACGGAGCTTTGCCCTGACGTCTTGCGAGTTCTAGAGACTGCAAAAAGACCCAATGTCTATTTTGGCTAGTGAATTTACCACATGATAATTTAGCTGCTTCTGGTAAGGTTTGGTGAACATGCGACCAGTAACCTTCAACTGTATTCAGTGCGCTTGTTCAACTCGAACACAGGTGTACTTGGATACGCATTCGGAACATCTAGCTTCAGCAGTTTGCTGATGTCAATACGCTGATAGGGTTGTCGAGGGTGACCGCCAAAACGCACCCGCAGATCAGCACACAGTCAGTGTCCACACATGTGCTTCAGATTCAGCGACAGTTTTGGACGAAGCCTCTCCAGCGATAACTAATCGCGAGGTGATCGATAGCGCCCATGGCTGGTTCGAGGCTGGTGGACGTCATGTAACCTTCCGACGGGTGCTGTGTCAGGTTAGTGCTCGCAAGAAATAAGCGAGCACCTTCACGAAAATGAAGTAACCGCTCACCGTTATCATTACGGGAGCATAAAGCATGCTGGCCACCCAGATGCAGCTCATCAATGGACAACTTCCCAACTTGAGCGTTCAGATCTCCAGCAAGCACTAGTATCTGTACTTCTTCTGTGGCGAAGGAGCTCGCTCATTTGACGACAGAAATTGTCTTTTACCGAGTCACCGCTACAGTTTGAGGGGGACGTAGGCAGCGATGACAAACAGACACCTATTAGCCCCGCGCCACTTCGGAGATTCGAATAAGCCAGCCAGTCGGACTGCATACATCCGGCTACTGCTTGGGATCCAATCAACCAGAGCAGCTTCAGTCCGGGTACTCATGACAATACCAACACCGGCTTGGCTGGTACTCGAAGCTGTATCGTCTGCGGATAGGCACAATCAGAAACCACTGCTAGGGTCACCTGAAGTGGATCGCAGTGTGAGAACAGAGATCGGGTGTTGAGAGCGGGTTTCTAATAAGCAGCAGATATCGATCGAGAGGGTCTCTAATGTTCGGGTAAGTGTCGCCTGTTGACCGATCTGTGACAGTGTGCGTACGTTGAGGCATGCCAATCTGAGGGAGGATCGTGGGCTCTAAATAGAAGCCGATGAAGTGGGGTGGACCGCTTGGTTGGACATGGGCTTATCGACAGGATAGGAGTGACGCTCCGCGTTTGCATTTGAGCTGAAACTAGAAGATAAACCCTATCAAAACAATGTGGAGGGCCAAGAATTTGAGGGTTGAAAAGGAGGTGGATAAAAGTGAAATTGGAACGAGATGACAGGAGCGAAAAAAGCATAAGACGAATAAGAAGACGAGAAGGCATGAGCAGTAGCAATCAAATCCCTATCCACCCTGCTCGATTCAGCAGATAGAGCACCGATGATTATCCTCTGCGGTGGCCAGAGCATCATAAATGCGCACCACTGATGAGCCCCAATAAGGCAAAACGATCGTCTGGTGCTTTTCCGGATTAGTGCTTGATGTCGCGCTTGTGAGCTGCTGGGACGAACCAGTAAGACCTCATCTAAAATCCTCCTACTCATTAGCAAGCAACTGAGGTTGAACACGAGCTGAGATACCTCAAGGTCGCCCCATCTACGCAGACTCGAACCGTGACCTGTGGAGTGAGAGCTAAACACGTGGGCTGCTGCGTCAAGGGTCAGACAGCATCTATATTCAGGACAACGCGCAAGCTATGATACAGTCTTGTAAGCGTAGCCGTGTTTAGTAATGTAGTGACATGTACCATACAATGATATTGTTGTTACTAGTAGCGACAAAAACGATAACATAACGTCGTATTTGTATTTGGCCGCCATACAGGTATAATGAACGATCACAGTTCCTGAATGCCTTAGACGCACCTACCGAACCATAACGTACACAAGTTGTTGATATTCTAAGGTTCCAAACTGCTGGCTGTCATGAGGTGTGACACGATCAGCGAGGTAGTCCTCTTGTGGATTGTACTGCTTCATGTCACAGCCTAATCTTTAATCCACAAGTAGCTCAACAATCAAAACGGGCCCGTGACAAGGAAACCACAACTCCCGCTAAAAAGTTATCGTTGGGGTCAAAATGGTCAACGAACAACGCTAACCTGCGCAATGATTCCATAGAGGTGCGAACGGTTAAGAATTGCACTTATGTAGTCAGCGAGTTTAGGCATGCGGTTAAGTGCGAAGCTAAACGAAAGTGACCAAAGAAGTCGTGGCTGTTGCACCCTGTGAAGAGTAAAGAACCTAAGGTGAATAAAGCATCAGGAGTACACTTGTGTGTCGCACAGATGCTTCGCTGCTACGCGACCACCAACAGTTGCGCGAGGGCTAGTGATACTACAAGGTCGCCCGTGCCCCCCCCCCAGATTTGAACCAGTGGCCTTGGAGTTACAAGGCAGAGGCCTAGATACTTCGACAACCGGCCGACAAGGTGAACAAAGCCGATTTCCCTACTAAAACTGGACAGTGTGGGAGAGGAACTTTGGATTTGACTAGTCCGAAAAACGCAAGTATGATGGATTCGGATGTCGCGGACTGCGCTGCCAAACCACTGATAGCTAATGACATTAGGGGAAGTTGTGGCGCGAGTACCTAGTCGGAGTGAATAGACTGCCAAGAGGAATGAAGCACACTCCCAACCGGGAGTGAAGCTGACGGATTCGTTTAATAGACGCAGTAGGCGCAATTTTCTGTATGCGCGGTTCCACTAATCAGTGGATCTTGGGCGGCCCTGTTGTGTGTGTTCGCGTTATTGGTTTAGCTGAGATAAAGGAATAACCTCCTGGGTCAGACAACGTATTTATTAATAAACGTGGACTTACAATACACATTTAAAGGATTTGCAGGTCAAACATTTCGCCAATTTAGCTTACTCCCTCTTATCGAATAAACATTTGTCCTTAAAGGACTCATTTATTTGACAAAATGGAAAATCCGGAGACATACAGATCGACTAGCCGAGAAGTAGTGTGGAATCGATGTAACTAAATTACGAAAAGGTTGTATTAGAACAAGTTTATATCTTGTCGTTATCCTGTTTCCAAACAAGCCGGAAAGAAATCCACAGTACTGACTGCCAATTATTGTGAACAAGGTCAAGGGCTCGTTGGTTAGAAGACTGAACAGTTTTAAGAGTGCCCAAATGACCGTCGAAAACAGATATGGGAGACAGAATTGTATCGCACAAATTGGCGACAGCCAGCGCTGCAAGTGGGATAGTACACCACAGGAGATAAAACAACATTAAACTACGAAACACCAAGAACGTCAACATGCGGAATGGGACCAGAGTCAGATATAGGAAGTGTCCTCTACAAACACGCTAAAGATGCGAAAATGAAAAACAAGCGGAGAATGATGATGGTTAAACTGCAAAGTATGAATTAGTGAGAATATTCTGAGCAAACATACCGGATCCATTCTGATATGGCTTGCTTGCGAGCAAGACGGCGCAAGGCGTCAGATTCAAGGTTCAAATCATTAGCGGGCGAGTCCGCCTCTGTTTTCTCATCGCTAGCTAAATCAAAGCTGTCTAAGTTCATGTCATTGCAATCCTGGGCGCCGTTGGGAACGTTCGCTTCAAAATCAGCATCTTTTTTAAGCAAAGTCGCGGCAGTAGACTCCTGAGGATGTTGACCCCATAGGGCGCAACAGAGGCCCATTAAGCGACGAACCAACATCATACGGGCGTTCGGACTATCTTGGCTTAGTGGCTCGATGGCATCTGGGAATTCACAACGAAGTACCCGGCTATACGCCTCGAGTGGTCCAAGACCAGAGGTTGGTTGCCAAAGAGGACAGTGATCTGACGGGGGGCACAGTGACTGAGGATTTGGATCCCCTTCGGTAGAACACACCGAAGTGAGAAGAGCTCCATTGAGCAGATGCTGTGATAGGAATGTGGAGGAAAAATCAGCGCGGATCGATGGTTGAAAACGAATGCCACAGCGACAAGGGGTGTAACATAAAAGTACAGACAAATGTTAGCGCAAAGCCAACTGATAAAAGTGACACTATCGGAGTGATGATAACATCGAATTCAAAAGAGGGGAAATCATGCGTCCAAAAAAGTCCGTAAACGAAAGCTGAGCGACAATCAACAGAAAAGAAAATCTAGCAGTTCGGCAGTGCGATCATCGCTGCATCTCATTCCCTAGATACAAAGGCTGAAGGTAGGACTGTGTGATTGCGGCAGCTGGGTATTTCGGGTACAGATAAAGTGATCTAGACGCAGAAAGAAGCCATTGGACAAATGAGCGACAAAAGTGAACATGAACTTAAACCGAGCTAACGATGGTAACCGTGGACAGTAAAAGGACAAACCAAACATACCTCGTCAGCCTCGTTTACGAATGAAGACCAACAACTGATGGAAACCTGGAAAGATGTTCGAGAAGAAGATGGCGGATTCGGGGAATTCGTCGCTGATCCTGCGGTTACGAGACCAACTGAGTGCAGCTCTAGAGACCGGGTTTGTCCCCAGGACACGCGCATTCCATGACCACGCCAGAGACCAACATCAAGAAGCAAACGAGACAACACAGCAGCAGATTCGCTGATCTGAAAGGCACTAACGTTGCCTCCTGAAAAAATGAGGTACAATTATAAAGATTTAACAGATCAGCGAACACACACGTCTAATATCCCCTTTTTCGAAACTTCATCAATCCAACCCAAATAACCAAAATACTGTGGGACTGGAAATGAACACGACGATGTGAAGCAAATGACGAAGTGAGATAGTGAAGAATCGCCTAAGTATTTTGGGCAAATGGTCAATACATGAAGTGCTAAATGCGTATGATGTAGGACAAAAACGCACCTGAATAAAACCGGGAGAGATAGTCATAGGGGTATGTTTGCGTTACTAGTTGAATATGCTCATCGGAAAGAGTCCTCTCGACGTTCAGTAAGTTGGAAAGCCTTGCGAGATGTAACCTCGCGGTGACTGGAGGGATTCTTTTACGGCTGAGGGGAACGCCGTCGGAAAACTTTTCGTAACGAATCGGATGAAACGGGGTCGTAGACTTTACACGGGTGATCTGACCTATCAAAAGCGAAAATAAAATGCATCGAAAGTGAAAGGATACAGTGTGTATCGTGAAACTGAAGTCAAGTGTAAGCAAGAATACGTGGCTAGTGATCTGAGATAGAATATATGTGGGACGAATGCAAATATTGTCAATATAGTGCAAATTCATTGTGATAACGAAGTCGCAAGGTTACATGAGGGGCACAACCGATAATACCGTAGGACTATCCATTAGTAGACAGCATCGCAGGTGTGCAATGGATCTAGGTGAAAGGACTGCGCAGGTCCGACAGCAGACGGACGATATTCTATTAAAAAAGGGAACGCTGGCTGCCGTGTATCAAAGGAGATAACTAACAGGCTAGCCGTGAGTATCTCAGCACTGTAAGTCAGTGCAACGGCATGAGATCTGTCTACCTCATATTCGGCATTTTGATTCTGAATCCAAATTCCCACATCTGAGGATTTCGAGTTCATTTATCTACCGCACTTGATTTGACCTCTCCTTCCCTCTCGTCTATCCTGACTTTTCTAATCATCATTTTGTGGCATCATCAATCACCATCACCAATACGCGTTAGCTGAAGGTAATAAACACACTACAGCTAATGTGCCGCAATATGAAAAGGTACATGAGTAGGTACATGAGAAAAAAGACATAAAGCATTATACCATACAATATAAAACCAAAAAACGTAATATGATGCTTAGTGTCATATTAAGTATCAAGTGTGAGAATGTGGTTAGGGGGAAGATAAGCTGGAGAGAGACAAGAAACTCACAGTAGAAACGCTAATGGGGACGGCTTTTCATCATGTTAACCAGTGCTCATCGTCCCTCGAACTCTAGCCCGGCAGTCAGGAGACATCAACTTCGAAGTGACGGTCTTCATACCTTCATCGCTTAGCCTCTCTTCTTGTTGTGGCACGCGAGTCAAAGGGACTAGATCCACCGCACTTAATCGGATGAACTGAACAGCGGTGCATTCGGACAATGGGATTGTGAAAGGAGCGTGGTCGATGTTTACACAAAAGCGGGTTCAACGATTTTACTCTCATTGGTGATGAGCACTGCATTTCTGATAGATCCAAGATTAAAGAGCAGTAGCTGAAGATGGGTGAACTGTGAGTCTCCGGAGGATCGAATGAGGTTGGTAAGTGACCACAATGTTTCTCCATGACCATGTGGTCAGTTAGAAGCGCAGACAAATTTATAAGCTCTGAATCGGGACTGAGTCGCATGAAAAATCCGGCTATCCGTGACTGATTAGGTTGTCACGATAATTACACGGGAAAGTTTCTACACTCACCAAGACAAGCTCTACTAAGTATACCTAAACGCCCTAAGCAAACAGTCAGGGTCAGGCAGCCTACATGTCATCATCAACAACAGCAACAACAACAAGAGATCACAAACAGCTTGTGTGTGGATACGAAATAAATCGTACTTGTAACGCCACAAAGCGTTCGGAAGGTTAAGACACGCGTATCCCACCGGAATATTCAACAAAAAACGAAGTCCGGACCTGAGATAACGGTACTATTTGTACAAATTCATTGTACCAAAATAGACATAACCTTAACGATTTCAAACCTAAAAGTTTTCCAACAATTCGCGCTCAGATGCACGAGCGACCCGTGAGTTCAGGTGTACGAAAGAACACAATGAAAACAAAGTGAGACAAGCAGGGCTTATGGTAAGAATCCAAATGAGCCAATGGTAATACGTATGCGGCCACCAATGAAAACGTGCGGAGGCAAGGTCTGGCATACCTAGCTGTACAAAGCTGTAGGAGTCACACAAATCGATCAAATCAAGGGAAAGAGTGCCATCTCAATAAGGTTGAACATAGAGGTGCATGTACGTAGGAGTGAAAAAAAGGTAGGATGCGGATGAACTGGAAATCGGACACTACGTTACACAGCAAGGGCGTCATGGTAGACAACGTTGGAACAGAAAAGGAACAATTGAACAGGCACACGGATCCATGCCGGACGATGAGGCTGCCAAAGTAGAAGTAGGTATTTGACAGCGGTGAGACTTGGGTGGTCGCAAATTCGTTCTACAGTTCTCTGTCACAGCAATTAGAAACGAAGGTATCAACAGCACGACGGTATGTCGTACCGACGCTTCGGAGCCACGCGACCACCACCAGTGGCGAGCCGGGGCTACGGACACTGGAGACCGCCAAACCTTACGCAAGCTCCGAACGAAAGCAACCAAGCGACCTGATTACTAGCTCTCCACAATAGGAGCGTAGCGTCATAAACCCCACTCACAGGGACGAAGTAGGCTTTTCTGGTGGACCGTCGCCATCATGGTGGCATCGTAAAATATGAACCCTGAATCGAAAACGACGGAAACCGAAACACCGGAAATATGTAATATTCGGTGCCCATCGGGCCGAAGAGGCTCGGGTTTAACTCATTAGTAATATCTCGTGAGCTTACTCAAAACGCCAGCTGCCAGATTCAGGCAGGACAATGTGTATGTTAAATGGATTGGGTCGCGAACCGAGGAATGAAACATGAAAGAGAGTGTTACATCGATGACGGTGAGAAGGAGGATGTTTGCGGAGCAAGATCACATCTTGAAATGAATGTAATCGCGCACAGTGCTAAAATTGAGCGACAGCACTGCATTGTCGTGAATGAATCATTATGCTGTTTAACGGTAGACAAAAATGAGAAGGGCGACATGAGCAATAGGAGGCATACCGGCCTGTAGGTTGGAGTCGATACCTGGTCCCTCCTGTTTAGAACGAATAGTTGCAGGTTCGTCAAGAGTACGGACAATTTTTTTAGGAGAAGGACCGAAATGGTAGGGTTCTGGAACGATAGGGAAGGATGTGAGAATAGATGAACGTCCAACGGAATAGTAATTTGGATCACAACAGAAATACAACAGTTGATGTGGGAATTTGAAACATACGCAAAGAACTAACCTTGAGCCCGAGGACGGGATGTTGAGCTGTATATGTTTGGTTTGTCATAGCTCATCTCGTCAGTCAATTTAGAAAGACGCTGAGATCGTTTGGCCGTTATGCTGTTAGACCACACTAGGGCAGTTTCGGTCTCCTCCATGGGTGCGTCAAAATCGGTGGCTTCGTCGATTTCTTCTGCTCCGTAATCATTAGACTGGCCAAAGAGTGCACTCCGGTGACTGCGCTGGGCAACAGTGATGGAGGGGTTGAAAAAAGCGTCCCGCATTTGTCGCAAAGCCCGTGGAGTTGTACGCATTGAGTCCTCAATGACCATGGTGGAGGCTGACTCATCTCCTGAGTCAAGAGATTTTTGTTCCCATTCCTGATCGAGCGTAGTGACATCAAGATGGGTTAGATGTGTACCACCGTTTATCGCGGAGATCGACTCGCTGACGATCTTCAGTGGGGCGACTGATTTCTGCAACACATGCTAAGCAAAAGTAAGGAGTAAAGACTTGCGTAACTTACAGAATGAGTACATTTATTGTATACGTACACTTTACTAGAGAAGCAGCATTCACACCCAAAGATGTTAAAGAGTAAAAATAGTAAACGGATGAAGCAGTAGTTATAATGATAATAATACATATATTTATCATGATCCGAGAAACTGGGTCTGTAGCCGCACAGATCAACCTTGCTCTTGCATGAGTGATGAGTGTACGTGCTATCCAGTGGATCATTGGAGCAAAAGCCAAGATTTGGAAATGTTGGTGTTCAGACGTTTTATTAACCTAGACGTTTTTAAGCCCCTCTTGGAAAAGTTCATAAAGTAATTGTTTCCATTTGAATGTCGTTTTCCTAAATGTTACTACATTTTTACATGAGCTGAGTGTGATTTGCAGCTTATTTCATAGATAGGTACATTTGACCGGGAAGAAATTGGACAACGTACTTGTTCTAGCAATTGGCGGTATTACCACTGTGTAATCTGTATCGTGAAGCTCTCGTGTTGAGCTATGTTGCAGTTCCAGTATGAGTAGATCGGAACAGGCCTTTTCGTGTAGCAGGTTGTAAAGCAACAACAAGTTATGGTCCAATCGTCGCAACGAAAATGGTTCGCGTTGGAGCTTCATGAAACGTTTTCGATACTTCTTGTCAGAATGCTCACTAATCAAGTGTTCAGTAAAAAACTTCAGCAGGTGTTTTAGAGCAATTCGATCGCTCTTTCTCATGTTGCCATACAGTATGCTACAATACTCCAGGATAGAGCGGGTGTGCGGCTTAAAAGCTCAACTCCAACATGGATTGTGTGGATCTGGTTCGTTAGATTAAGCACAGATTAGTTGGTACGCGTGATTTGGTACCGGGTCTCTTCGGAAAAATGGAAGGTTGATGAGTACATTATCCTGAAATTGCGCGTGGAAAGCAGTATAGAGACATGTTCATTGGTTAGTAAGATAGATCGTCGGGAATAAAACGGTAGCAACACATGGTGCTTGATTTCTTAGCCGAGGTTCATCATCCACGAGTGATCCCAAGACAAAAAGGAATCTAAGTTATGTTGAATGAGCAACAAGTGAGTTGATGTATGATAGAGATGCCGACTTAAAAAACGGAACCATGTATCTTAGTTAAATGCCGTAAGGATTGATAGGTTTAAGCAGAATAGAAAACTAAGCGCAAGGATGCAGCGGTGACGGGAATTATTAAAGAGCAACGTAGTGGTTTATGATGCAGTTTTCCAGAAAACGCTGAAGTCATTTCAAAGATAATGACCACGGTCCACAATATATTGTCGCGTTGTTCTGTGCAAATCCAAGAGGGAAAGTGATCAATCCCACCAAACGACAGACGTAAAGAGATTAGTAACGTTCGGCCACCGGTGCCTTCGGGGTTTGGCTCATATCTGCTGGGAACACCGCGTGCGCAACAAGCGTGTTTGTCGTTTTGTTTACGGTGCAGGAAGAAGAGGTGAACCGGTCAACAATGTTGTTTCACGCATCAGACTCCGATGGTTGGGTCGTGCGCTAAGCACGCCAGTACATCGACTCCCGTGACGTACGCTGTTTGCGAGATCCGGATCTGAATGGGAGAAGAGGAGGGAAGGCTAACCGATGAATTGATAAAGAGGAATGAAGTCCCTCATTCCGAGGTTGGTCTCGGTTGTAGCCTCTCGACTCGACGACTGGGATTCGAAAAACTATGAACACATTTGGTTTGGTATACTTTTGACATGGCGAAGAACTGACCTCAATGACATTTGTATTTTCAGTGTCTTCACATCGCCTCCCCTCAGTTACCCTCGCTTTCTAGCCATGATCCCGCCGTAAATTATGCTGCTTCCGTTTTAATTGCCGCCTGATCGAATTGCATCACAGCCGGGATGTTTCTCACCACTAGCTAGTGTGTTGAATGACGATTATGAACTGACTAGACGGACAGTAAAAGGGATCATAAATGGAGTCGACGAGTCCGCTGTAAGCTGGGTGATTGTAAAAGTGATCACAAACGTACTGTAAATTTCTCCGATGTTTCAAGACACAGTTGTGAATCAAGCTCCATAGACACCGAGTCGCCTTTGTCATCAGTAGAGGTCTTCATAGCGGGTCCTGCATCATCGTCGTCGGAATCTTCCAAACGGTATTTAGAGAAATGCTTAACCTCGAACACCCAAGACCCGGATTCTGGTCGATATTCGATGAATCTGGTGAACAAAAGAGAGTTGACACAGTGATCGAAAATGAGTGAAAGATTAGATGTGGAATTGAGAGAAAAAAGCAAATGAAGGTTGAGTTTCCAGTGAAAGGTATGGAAAGCGATGGTAAAGGTGTCATAATATTGGGTACCAGTCACAATTTCACGAAAAAGTGAAGCAATGAGTTGTATCCTGGAAACCACAAGGTTGGTGGATTATCTCCCGCTGGCGAGGAATGATGAAAAACATGGCTTTTACATTAAGTTCGTAGTTTTGCCATAGCCTAATACCAAAAGCTGAAGAAGAGTGGTGTCACTTTTTAGACTACGTCAGTGTTATCAGCAGTCCGCAACCTGGGCATACGCTCTGAGAATAAAGTAGTTTCAAACAGGGTGGGATAAGTAGATTAGTACCCGGGGTCCAAAGAATATCATTTGAATGCGATGAAGGAGCAAAGTGGACAACGCGACCTCATCATTATCATCATACACGTTAGCTGCAGGTGGAAGACACCTCAGCTATTGTGCCGCAATATAAAAGGCAAGAAAAAACAACAGAGGCACGCCGGCTGAGCCCCCAGTAACGGATGGATATTGTTCCCGAGAACTAACAGCCAGCTATCGTGCCGTAAAAAGAGAGTTATATTATGCCTAACGAATGAGATCGTGATTGGAAGAGGAGGCTAAGCAGGCGGGGAGTGGACAAAAGAACTCACAAAAACGCCAATGGGGCCCGCTCCTAGCCATATCAGCGAGTGTGTCCAGCCAAATGTGTTCATCGTCCTTAGGACCGTAGTCAAGCAGTCGGGATGCACCAATCGATGCCAACTTCGGAGTGAGGGTTTTCATTTCCAGCGACTAAGTGATTGTTTGACTTCTCATCCTCTTCCAACCGCACCCCCGGCGGGCAAACAATGCACGTCGTGGGAGCCGGTGTGCTGGCATGCGTAACACGTGGCCCAGCCATCGGAGCCTGGTGCGTTATATAATGGTGCTGAGTGGTTCACAAGCTCTTCATGCACCAAATACGCGACGCCGAAGATGCTCATTGCTCACGCGGTGCTCCCACCAGACATGAGCAAAGCTGCGAAGGCAGCGATGATCCAACGTCACCAGCCCCTTTATGTCTGTCGACCTGATGAGCCCGGTTTCACAACCGTATAAGAGGGTTGAAAGGACAGCTGCATTATACACTCTACTATTTAGGGAGAGAGTGATGTCGTGAGTGCGCCACAGGTAACGGATTGGCAAAAGCACCTCGAGCTTTTGCTACACGGTTCGTAACCTCATCTTCGATCACACGGGCGCTAATACAACTGCCCAGGTACTTGGATCCCTGCACGCCTTTTAGCTGATCACCACCAAGCATCAGCGCAGGGTGGGTCACTGCCAATCTTGGAGAATAGCTTTGCATTTCGATGGAGCAAAGCATAGCCCAAAACGATTGACAGCCAGTGCTAATCGATCCAGTGCAGCCTGGTACGCGTGGGCGCAGTCACAGATAAGGGCAATGTCGTCCGCATACTCCAAGTAATGAAGTCGTTCGCCAGGAAGTAGCTCCACACCTTCGACGTCGTGTCCATCGAACGCTGTTTCCATGACTTCATCAACAATGAAGTTAAACGGGAGAGGTCACACACACGCCGTGAGTTGAAACTAGAAGACAAGCGACTATTCAAGCAAGGTGGGTGAGGGCCAAGAATTGGATCAAATCCTCATAACACATCAAAATGTTCAACTTCGCGTGAAGGTACCGTCGCCAACCGGTAGTTTCCAGGTCCCGAAATCGGATAGTAAATATTGCTACGCCTACCCGGGGAGTGAAAACAATCACGGAACCGATCGTGGAGCGCAGTGCCGCGATAGAATAAGGGTTAAGAGCGATCGACCGCTAAAATGCTTCCCCAACAAAGCCAAGTAAGAATAAGATGGAGTAGTCCTGTTGTGGACTGCTCAGTGAATATGGATTCGAATCTGGTAACTATCACCCGGTGAAACAGGACAGTGCTCTGCACGTCACACTAAAGATGAATTCTAATGTGCAAAGCATCAATCTGCCTTATCCCGGTGGCAATGAAGGGGTGCGAGAAATTAGTACACGCATGACACAGACCGAGTTGTAAGGAGGAAGTGTCGTGAATAGGCAATCAACATCTCTAGCGCAAAAGTTCCACCAACCGGTCTCAACGACGTAAACATGGTTGTGCCCGAAGGATCGGAATGAAAAGGCGGGAAGGCGATACTTTCGTCAGAGTGAGTCCAACGAGCCGTTTTTGAGGCCTCTATCAAATAACCTAAATGGCTGTCCATAGGGGGTGTTTAGTAGGAGCGGAAAAAAAAGTGATCACGAGGATGTATCAGAAAATCGTATGAACCACAGAATAAACTATCATAATAAATACGACGAACAGGACCACCGGCATTAGGTGTGTCAGCTTAAGGAAGAAGAGTGGGTGGTAAAATCTACATCTTTAATAGCTTCAGATGATTGAGTGAACTGAGGAGCGGCAGTCGGAACCATAGTAGCGGAAAATGGAGCGAAGGGATAAAGTTGTTTCCCACTGAACGTTGGATGTCAATACCCCAACACTAATGGGCGCAAAACAGGGGAAATCGGGTCCGTTCATCAGAATGGGTAATCAACGACGGCCGTTTTCAGACATACCTAGGAGTCAGTTGCTCAGTGAAAGCAGGGTCGAAGTATGAATCCCTTCTAGGTTCCACAGCATAAATGGAATGCCATCGTAGGGGCCATGAATCATGATAAAACTTTCTATTTCGTCCTGGCAATAGTCCTCAAAGGAGCTACATTCAGTTTCATGGCATCATTGTCAGATAGCAGTCTTCACAACCCCCTTTCATGATCCAGCTAAACAAAATATTCACGCAACTAGTGGGAGTGTGTGCTTCGGATGGAATCTTGTCTTGTAATGCCCACCTGAATCGCTGAGTCGAGCGCTGTAAACGGAAACCAATGTGGAGTGACAGTCTGATCTTACTTTCTGATCGCCATAAAACCGAAAACAGTCAGACTTGCACAACACTGTGCATGCAGGCGGATCGATGGAGCCAATATATATCATGCAGGGGAGTTTCGCTCCCCGATTGGTATGAAGCTCGATCACGATATGTGTGTGATAGAGGTGGAGTCCCATATTCAGGAGGAATAATGCGCGTGCGGCAAAACAAAAACCGGCTTTTCATGTAGCAAACAAACACGCGACACGCCGACCCGAAAAGAATGAAAAGACTATAGAGTAGGACGCAAGCAGGTGTTACATCCCCTGGAAGCAAAATAGGAGGCTTAAAGCTGCAAAACTGTCTGGAGAAGCGACGGCTAAGCAAGCAGGGACAAAGAGGAAGCCTGTTGTACGCTGATGTTAGGTCGTGCAAATTTTGCGCGACTACGGCTGAAAACAAGCAGAGAACCCGCAAACTTCCAAACCGAATCGAAAGCAGGAGTCAATGAACTTGAAGAAAAAACCTGCTGGCGGGTACAGTACCAAAAGAATGCGAAACAATTAGGCCAAAACGATAACTGTAAAGGCAAATCGGAGAAGCTTCGGGTCCTAGCACAGATGCATGTGTGAGATAAAACGTTTCGCATTGCCGACAAGTTTCAACTGAACGCTCAATGTCAGCTGCCGCAGACCTGATGGTTTTCAAAAGAAAAAACTTGGTCACGCCTAGGCATCTACAATGGTGTAATGCTCAAGAAGTTAGCAGCAACACAGTGCTGCAGAATTAATGGTAAGGAGACTGCTCAAAAACACCAGTCAAGAAAGCAGCGCTGCAGTATGAGAAATGCCAATGTCGGAACAACAGGTATGCTAAACAACAGCCGGGGCGTTTGTGCAGGCTGAAGAGAAGAAACATGAAGATAAGGTCGAATGAAGAAATTCTGAGCTCTTACTTTGCGTCCATCCGTCGGGTGGCCCGTTCAAGGCGTTCCTCGAAACGCATCACACTCAATCTTTCTGGAGACTTGATGGGCTCACGTGTGGCTTTGTCCGTGGGCCAAATTGACTCGAGGCAGACTTCGGCCCGCTTGTTCAGACCGAAACCAACGGGCGGTTTCTTCACATCATCAGGATAGATGACCACTTCCCGCCGACGGATGTGCACAATGTCATCCAAATCCAAACCAGTGACGTCCGTGTCCCCAGGAAACAAAATGTGCCCATAGTGCTAAGACAAAGATACAGGAGATTATGAGGCGAGGGTTTCACGGAATAAGGTTGAAAAAGAACAAGTTCAACTATCCTCCAATGGTAGACAGAAACGAATAAAAGTTGGGACGAAAATCATGTCCAGCCGTGAGGACGCAGAATCAAGAGTAAAGAGGGTAATCGCAAACTGTATCGTAGAGTATAAAACACGCTGAGCTGATCTTCATAAACTAGCAGGGGATAAACAGAGTTATCTCCACCAAATAAATAGTTGTATAATACCGAGGCTCAGACAGACTGAGGTTCGCTGTAACAATCCCCAATTTCCACGGTAGTTTGGAAACGCTTGTCCTCGAGCTCTCTTCCAACATAAGTGAGCTGAGCTGAAGGTAACGAAAACAGAGGGTTTTCTAAGGAAAAAAGGTTGCGAATGAACCGCGCGGAAGACATCACAGCAAATGTAGAGCTGGCAGGTCAGGACGAGGGAATCAGTACACCACTGCCGTCTACATTGGTACCATCTAATCTTATTGGTATCCCATTTGCAATCCCATCTTAGAAGCCCTAAACAATGGACATCAATGTTAACAGCAACTAGCTATTGAAGTTGGCTTATTGACGTGTCCGTAAACAGGTGATTCATTGTGAGGAATAATAACCGTTTGAGGCTTTGTTAATATAATGCTACGGCAAGACCAAACACCCTTACGGTCGTTGTCTGAGTAGTATCGATAGAATTATGGCGTTCAAATAGCTTGATAATGCGGATCCGAACAATGAATGAATACTTGTATCCTTGACCTTCGATAAAACTAAGGTCAAATGCATGCAATCTAGCCATATTCTTCCAATGGCAAAGGATAATGAATTCAGGGTTAAAGGTGTATAAAGTTCGGTATAAACAAGGACAGGTGCGACCAGATAGCAGCTGTTGTATACAATCCCCTTACAAATCGCACAAATTGGTTGGCTTACGCATATGTACGTAGGCTGAGTTAAACAAAAATGGGAACCTGTTGGAAAGGGCACAAAATTCTCAGTACCGCCGTGTAATCCCGACATTGGTCGAGCTTCTCGATGCAAGTGGATCAGCTTACGCATCAGTCGAACATAGGTGCCACATTCGTAAGCGAAAAGATAGCGATGATACCCTCTACACCCGGACGGCTCATACAATCTTGTATTCATCATGGTGTGTATATAAAGGTGGTACGGTTGAGCTTCAAAATACGAGTCCTCAGTGGATGATGTTGAATTATTGGATTGCTATCCTCCGTATGCCCATATTCGATTCCCGGATGGAAGAGAAGATACTGGGTCACTGCGCAACCTGGCACCAGCAAGACTCGGTCTGTATAGTGACCCTTCTATTCTCCTCCAACAGACCTTCCAAACGACACTACCACACACACATACACAACAACAACAACAACAACAACAGGCACTCAGGCGCTCTAAAATGATCCCCTCTGTCCACCTAATCCTTCACACCTTTTGAGCAACAGCAAAGTACACGAGCATACAACCTGCGTAACTGCGAGGCTTAGGTCGAGGAGAAGCACTCATCGATTATTCGTTTACCAGAACGTTTCCGCATTTTATCTCAGCCTACATGCCTCACTTGCTTGGTGAATAAAGCCTACTCACACAAGCTCCGTTTTTGCACACATCGTATTTCCCCTCATTCAATTCCATTAGAAGGCCCCAAAAAATTGTATAAAATAAATAGGCTGAAAGTGATAGCATTCACCGGTGAAGATGAAAATTTGACATGGAATAGAGTCGATACAATGGTTGTCAGCTTACACGACGTCCGATTACGAAATCTTCAACAATGCAACGGCCATCGGCATCAATCATACTGGACAGCTCCTCAGGGGTCGGAAGTGTGTAGTAACCGGGCTTGGTCAACTTGACGCCATTCGGTGGTACCGAGTCCACTGAACTGGCTGTATCGCGCGGAGATTTATGTGTTTGTTGATTCCATGGCGACGGACTCACAATGCCTAGGGCGGATGAATTTTCTACGCTGATACCAGATGGTGATGTCCAAGTACTTTCCAAATCCTCGTGGAGAATCGAGTCGTCGGCTGTCCCTACTTGCAAAGCTTCTTTGGCTTGTCGAAAGCCAAAAGCACCAGAAACGGAGCTAACTGAGTTCCTCTGCCACGCCGTACCACGTCCGAGGCCCGATATGGCATTTACGGAAGAAACGGAAACCTGGAGAAAAATCGAAACGGTGTCCATATGAGCAAACGATCAAAACTGTAAGTAAAAGGGCAACAGCAACAGTACGCCGGTACGCAGCACCGATGCTACGCTGCCGCGCAACCACCAACAGTCACACGTGGACCAAGGATACTGCGAGCGTCGCCCGGTCCTCTACGCAGGATAGAAACGCGCACCCACGGATTACAAGGCAGGCTTATGATTCTTAAGGCTACGGTCCGGCAAAACTGTAAGTAATCAAAAAAGAACGTTAAAGTCATCAGACGCAATAAATGAATGAGTGGCAGCAACATATATCGAGCAAACTACAACTGACCGGAATTGAAACAACTGAAGTAATGACTGAATGACCAGGCGTGTCTCCATCGACGCCCTGAAGCTCAGGACTCGTTGATGCTTCATCCGAACGAATGGTATTCAGATTCGGCTCGGGTTCACGATCACCGCACATAGAGGCCTCCAGCAAACGATTCGTGTCTCGTGATGCGGCAACTGAGCGCTCTACAATAGAGTTCCGAAGATTTTCCGGCAGATGAAGCCTCTTCCATTCGTCTCGTCTAACAAAAAAGGCCCCTTGTGATCCAGATCTTGGACTGTCTGAGAGAACGACATCAGCGCTTAATGTAGCCGAGCGTCTTAATCGAAGTGCAGGGGAAGCGGCTTGATTAGATGGTGAAAGCAGTATATCATCCTCGTGGAGTCCGGAGAAGAGCTATGAAAAGGCAAAAACAGTGAAATAGTGAAGAAGAAGAAATAAAGGCGTTTTGATTGCACATATCATCAACCACCAACTAAATGGACAGTGTAGAAAGACAAAAGACACAAAGTCGAATAAAATAAGTGTAAGCAATAAACAGTAATGTGAACTGAACATGGCAAAACACATGTACACTACCGCAGGAGTGCTAGAAACGCGGACATACAAAAGCGGACCACAGTGAAACCAGGTGGACCAGATGTAGCTGAAGAAGAGTCATGAAAAGAGCCCTGTGGGCACATAGAGGTATATTTTGAAAATTTTGACCGCATTATATGTAGATAGTGATTGACTACCTTGCTACGATTGGATAGTTGCAACAAGCGCTGTGTAACAGCACGAGACTTTGGCCACATGCCTCGATCAAGCGGAATGGAGGACCCAATGGAACCTGGAGAAACGATGCCCAAAGCAAGGCCAGCTGCTTTGTGGCGTTCAGCTAGAGCAGTCACCGCTGCCTTCGCAGGAATTACCATACTGGCGCCAGTAGCGGATGGAGCAGCACGATCTGAAGACTGTCTCGTTCCGACTTCGTTGGAACATTCGGATGTTGTTGGCAAATTGATGTAGCGGAACAGAGGCGACTGGCCATATGGCATGCTGCGGACCAGTTCGAGAACTTGCTGTTGAGCACGAACGCTTTGAGCTGCTTGTATAGCCGAGTTGTTGGCAAGACCTGTCAGAGCTCCACCAATCTGGCCAGGTTGCAACTGCACGAGAAAAATGCGAAAAATGCGAAAATGTGTAAATGTGGCGAAATACCGGAGAAATCTAGTAACCCTGAAGTCAAGCAATATTAATTAAGCAGAACATAAGGCGAGTTTTCTCGGGGTGCTTTACCCAGTTAAGTCAAAAATCCATAGCATTAAGACACGAGGTAAAGATGTCAGACAAAGGAGTGGTAAACGCTCTCGAAAGAGAAAGACAGTCAGTCTGAGCATCTGTTAAGACAAGAGGACGAAGTCAATGCAGCGACAGGTACTGAGAAAGTACCATCAGAAGTCGGCAAGGGTGGAAATATTATGATCACTCAATAGCTGCAGAACCTATCTGAGTTCCTGTAGGAGTAGTAACTGTCTTCTAAAGACTAAAGTGATAAAAGGCTCCAAGAGCAAGGAGAACAATCAGTGTGCTGGCCGCTGCGGTGACACAGATCTAAGATTTGTGGAAAAGGTGACTACTGAAATCCTGCCAAATCGCATTATCACCCACGTGTTGGGGTAGAAAGCAGTAACGAGGGCGACGACGACAACAACAACAGCAGTATTTTACTATCTCGCACTGGTGTTTCTGCTGCCAACAACCAAAGGGAACAGACAACAATGGGTAAGAATAAACAGGGAGAAGGAGAACCTGGGGTGAAAAATTGGCAGCTGTACGCCTTAATGGCGCTTCGCTGCTGCGCGACCACCACCAGTCGCTGAGTATATCGCGAGGGCACCCGCTCCAACGAGGAGTTGAACCAGTGACTTAATGATGGCAAGCCAGTTATGCAAACCACTCGGGCACCGGCCTGGGGTAAGATCTCAGGCGAACTGTGGTGGTCAAGGTACGTATTCAATGCCGACAACGCGCAATCACAGCCGTGTATCATACGGGGATAAAGTAGTTATCTTCATGAACATAAACCCGGAAACAAATTCGCACCGGATAGATGATAAACAGGCGATTCGACTAGGGACGACAGCAAACATCACGGGTGCCGGTCGCTAGCAAAAGCATCGAACCAAGCGCCAGATGGGTAGTGTAGACCCCAATCTGTGAACCGAGAGAATCCAACACCACTCAAACGAATTCATTTAACATTTTTTGTTCGTCGCAATCAGCCGACAATTCAGATATGTGGACCAGCTTTCCGGAAAAGCACCAGACGGCCGTTTCGCCCTATTGGGGCTCATCAGTGGTGCGCATCCTTCGGTCCTCTGCGGAGGATCGAACCCATGGCTGCTAGTGGCTCTTGCCAACTAGCCCGCAGCTTATGCAACTGCGCCAGGGAGGATGGTATCCGACCGTCTGGTGCTTTTCCGGATAGCTGGTCGACATATCTGAATTGTCGGCTGATTGCGACGAACAAAAATACTCACCAAAATCCTTCCACTCATAAGTAATACCAATTCGCCCTTACGGATTCCACAAAATGCTATGTCGATTCATAGCTGCCGTAACCGGGAAGTCCTGACGCCGGAAGGCCAACTGCTGTCATCTGCATGGCGGTGGAGGATGGGTCGGGCTATATCGCATTTAGCTAACAATTCGTGATGGTCGGATACCATCCTCCATGGCGCAGTTACATAAGCTGCGGGCTAGTTGGCAAGAGCCACTAGCAGCCATTGGTACGATCCTAAGCAGAGGACCGAAGGATGCGCACCACTGATGAGCCCCAATAGGGCGAAACGGCCGTCTGGTGCTTTTCCGGATAGCTGGTCCACATATCTGAATTGTCGGCTGATTGCGACGAACAAAAATACTCACCAAAATCCTTCCACTTATAAGTCATTTCACGTTGCCATGAACACGCATAGTTGCAGTGGACGTAGACGCGAATAAGTCAGAGGTGAAAAGCAGTTGTGCAGCAACCAGCAGCTAATACAGGTTGGGAAAATGTGCCACCAAAACGCCATCTTGTTGAAACAATTTCAGAGAAATAAGAGGGGCCAAGGCACCTGCGGATACTGAAAGTAGTTTGGGACAGTCGGGTAATCCAGACAAATCAGTTGGGAATTCATCGTAGCAGCTTCCAAATTAGATGGTCCTCCACATGCCCACAACAGCACTAGGCGGCCGTTTCGACCTGTGAAGTTTCGTCAGTAGTGCGCCTCTACCGGCCCCATCAGAATCCGAACCCATAACCACCGGCGACTTCGACCACCAGACAGCAACTTATGCCACTGAGAATTGAGGACAGGGGCGGATCGTCTTGATTTACAAGCTAGATGCAACAAAGTCAAACACAGGATAAAGTGAATTCTAGGGGGTGCGTAAAATGGAGCGATTCTGAGTGAGATGGCAATTTTCGTACATCAAAAAGACAAGTAAATGCCTAACAACATGGCAAGAAAGCTCATTCGAACGCTGTAAACAGGACGACAAAAGGTGCTTATAAGTAGCGGGACCACCAACGCAACAGCCGACGGCTGGTAATAGGTCTCCGCGTACTGCAGCGAACGGACTGTAATACTTGCAATATCTACAACAGCACCTCTAATGCGCGCTGTGGCCTAACTCGGTGCACGCCATGAGTATTGGACAGATGATGTCAAGAAACAGCAAAGAAACAGACCGGTGAACTGAACTGCATTGATCCCTCCACAAATGTGAATCCAAAGGTTCCAACAATGTTTCCAAACACAGTATAACGATGCGATCGGGGGTAGATCCCCCTAAACACGGTGCTCAAGCACTCAATCCGTCTATCCAAGTATGTTTAACTATGCTATTGAATTTGTCACATTTCACTGTTAGTTATTAGGCAGAATACTGTGGTCGTGACGTAAAATACTCTTTAAACGGTATTCAAATGTAAGGAAATGACAAGAACGACGCATAACATCCACAGCGAACGCTGTAACTCGACCAAAGTGAAATGGCACGGTTGATTGGGTCAAGTCGATACACACTCACCGTTCCGAAGCCGCCTAGACCGCCTAGCCCGAGTGATTGTGTAGTAGATGTGAAGGACCCTAAGGCAGCTGATGTGGTGGATCCGAATAAATTGCCTGAGCCCAATCCGCTAGTGCCCAGACCTGTGTTACCCAAACCGAATCCTGTGCCGAATCCACCGGGAGCAGCTGGTTTCGCTCCAATTCCAAACCCCGTCTGTTGTCCGAATAATGTTCCCGTTCCGGAACCGGCTGATCCCAAACCAATGCCCAGAGCACCGGTAGAAGTGCCCGTACCGAACAATCCAGTCGGTTGACTGGTTTGACCGAAACCGAATATGCTTGGTGCTGATGACGCACCTTGGTTGGTGAGACTCGATCCGAAGTCGAACGTCTTTTTAGCTGCAAGGCTGTTCGCGGTCGGCTGTCCAAATAGACCGGCATTGCTAGTGGCAGCTGATGATCCAAAGTCGCCAAAAGCTGTTGGTTGGCCGGTGGATAAACCAGTGCCGAAGCCGAACCCAGCGGTCGTACCTGGATGAGTGAGTGAAACAATGGAAAAATAAATGGTCCAAATTTTAGATGGCATGGAGGTAAAATATATGCGTGTCTTTTGAAAAACCTCGAAACCAAAGGAAGTAGTCATGAACGAGTGTTTCAACAATAAGGGAGTGTTCACAGCCGCCTTCCAGACGTCCGGTCAGACAAGCAGAAAAGTATCAAAAGGTTTCACATTCGTTGTTGTGACGATGAAAGAACAAAAATGTGAAGCACTTCATATTTCGCCAGAGACAACACATGTCCAGTTCACCCTGATTCCTCCTAAGGTGAATTAAAACATGCGTAGCATTCGGAGGCGACTAACAGAAGCTGACATCCCTAAGTTTTCAATGAACTTTATGCGGAGTTTGTCGTTAAAAAACTATTTCACTCTGTACCGTAAAAGCAGTTAGTCTCCAAGATATCGTCAACGATGATTGTTAGCAGCCCAGTACTAAGCCACAGCACTGACAAAGAAGGGTGGGTGCCGGAAAAATGACTGTTTCCGGTTAGTATTGTGCCATACCGACTACACAACAGTGAGGTTGATGTGCACTTGCAGAACGAAGTGATGAAGTCCACAGTGATGGATTAATAATTCTCGCTACCCGAACAAATGGAAATTGAACTCAATTAACCCAAGTTCTATGATCAGCAAAGTGGCAGCGTTCAAAGTCGTAAGATAAGTTGAAATCAATATATCACTAGAGAGGGGGTTTTCCAGACACACATGGAGCGAATCAGCAGGCGAAAACAAGTTGGCTATCGCGCTGACCAGCAGTGCAACAAACGATAAACATTGTTGACGGTTTGCTTCAGATATCATGTACAGTACGAATATGTCTCGGTTTGCTAACGATTTCAGTTCCAATTGAAAGGTTTGATAATAAAGAACATTTGTTTTAACCCATCGGGAGATCCGTAAAAATTCCGATCAAATGGGCCATATACCATCCAGCAAATTAGATAAACGCAAAAAAGTCGGTTACAACTAGGAGTCGTGAGCAGCGTGAAACCGGTTTTCGTTGAATGACACGAACACACAACAATAAAGTTAACATGGTCCGATCAAAATCGCCTTCCAGCAAAGATAAGGTATATTTATAGCCTATTGCCATGCCGATTCCAGTCGACTCATCGAGACCAATGTGTTCATCCATGGTGTCTCACACAACAGATGGCAAAATGCCGATATCTGATATATGTATTCTGCGGCAGGTTCGCCTCGCATATGCGAACAAAGTGTACCTATTTCTTACAGCGAAATTATTCACCTCACATCACGTGGTCGTGATCCGTCACAAGGCGTAGACGCCGTGCGAAAAAGTAGAGATATCGATCGAACGATTTTACCAGACTGGTGTATACCGAAGTCTTGCATGGGGATCCAGGAATTGGCCACACCCATCATAGAAAACCCATAGGACATGTCACAGTCGAAAAGTAGATGACGTTAATTTGGCCCTCTGATTATCTCTATCGGTTAACCCTGTGTTCTGACGGTATTAGCCCAAGTTCCGAGTTCTATCCCTTTGGGCCTCTGTTAGCAACTTAGTGCATTTCACCTCAGTTCCTTCAATGTTACTCGATTGTCCTACGACAGCGACGAGGATCGTGACAACTGTATCCACTCAAATTTCAATGGTCCCACATCCCAGTTGACCTGTTCATGCGGGAAATGTGATGATCGCGATTCACATGGTAGGTAATCGCAAGTAACACAGTCATTCATATCAGGCGCTGTGAACATGGCTGAGTCATAAGTTAGGCCCTAAGGGAATTTCTTTAGCCGCAGTTACAGAAATGCTTCTTGTTAGTGACACAAAGTTGGCCCAGGCAGTGAGTAACGCCCCGTGTTGTTGTTGACGTCCTACTACAGACCGTTGTCTTACATTGTACTTCAGCTTCGTGTACTGTTGTGATTAAGTAAACAACATTCGTTTCTGGAACGTGGTGGTTCCTAGGGTAAGTTGGCTTGTCCACAGAGCGAGACAACCGGAGCATCCAAATAAGTTAATAAGCCAATGGGTTTAAGGTGAAAGTAATGGCTCCCCAGAGGCCAGAAAGCAAGAGCAACAAATCGACAAAATGGCAGATTAAGCCACTGAGCCATGGGGGACGTCGGCTGGGCTACACAATTTGGAAGCTAACTGGGATATAGCACGACCTATCTTCCAGTGCCACGCAGATTACTACCTTAGCAGGTGACAGTGGCTAGCCTCCGAAAGTCATGACTTCCTCTCACTAGACGCTACATCCATAGCATTTGAAACTAGGAGAGGCTCCATTTTATATTACTAGTGAGTAGGAGGATTTTGTAATTGTAATGTTTTCGTTCCAGCTGCTCACAAGCTACATAGCACAGCCTAGTCCGGAAAAGCACCAGACACGTTTCGCCCTATTGGGGCTCGTCGGTGGTGCGTATTCCCTCGGTCCCCTACTGTGGATTGAACCCATGACCGCTAGAGGCAGATGCCAACTAGGCAGCAGCTTGAGCAAGTGAGCCTCTCCTAGTTTCAAATCCTGTGGATGTAGCGTCTAGTGAGAGGAAGTCATGACTTTCGGAGGTTAGCCACTATCACCTGCCAAGGTAGTAACCTGCGTGGCACTAGAAGATAGGTCGTGCTATATCCCAGTTAGCTTACAAATTGTGTAGCCCAGCCGACGTCCCCCATGGCTCAGTGGCTTAAGCTGCTGGCTAGTTGGCATCTGCCTCTAGCGGTCATGGGTTCGATCCCCAGTATGGGACCGAGGAAATGTGCACCAATGACGAGCCCCAATAGGGTAAAACGCATCTAGTGCTTTTCCGGACTAGGCGGTGCTATGTAGCTTGTGAGCAGCTGGGACGGAAACATTACCATTACAAAATCCTCCTACTTAGTAGTAATATAAAATGGTAGTTGTCAAGCATCAAACAAGCAACTCAACTAACTTGTCACAGTTAAATGTGATGTTACGTTCGTCCAGGGAATTAAAAATATGGTTACACATGGTACGGACACATATTGTAAAGAGCAGAGATTTACTTGTAGGAGCGCCCACTCCAAATATCCCCCCAGGTTTAGTGGTGGATGCGGCGGGGGAGCCAAATAACCCAGTTGTCCCGGTGGGTTTTAGAGCGCCGAAGCCAAATCCTGTCTGCTGAGTTTGACCGGCAGTTAGACCGGGTGCGGATGAACCGAATAAGGTTATTCCTGTAGTCTTGGGTGCACCGAAAACATTTGCTGTCTGGAATGTAGTAAAAGATGAACGTACCGGATAAATAGGAGGAGACAACTGTAGCAATATTTTCGCAACCGGCTAATACTTTTCGAATGCCCACTTAGAATGAGGGATTGGCAAGTTAGTCAACAAGACAACAGTCAGGAGCTCGTTGCAAAACAAGAAATACAAAATTAGACAAAAAGAAACGTGGGGCACAGGAAACGCATTCCTATCACGATTATAGCGAATACACTGAGCGGAGCTGCTAACAGAATCACGAAGGTACACAATGTGTGTCAATATCACCAAATTCTTTCACACAGGCGCTTGACTACGAGGCAACTGGCAGCGTAATCTGCAAAACGTAATCGCATTCGCTACCACAAGAGGCTTAATTGTGAACAGAAGGGAAGGCAGTGTGATGTGGACCCTACTTGAGATAAACACTTGAGTAGTGACGGTAATGCAGATGCAAAACGTCACCCGGGAGATGAAAATCGAAATCCGAGCGTAAGGTGCGTAGAAAACGAACGATGTTGGTTTGTCTAATGTATTTCAAAACAAAGGACACCTATAATTGATGCTACATAGCATAGTAGATAACCGAAAGAAGGTGGGAAGCAGTAATGAATCTCTGGTCACAGGGGCAGGTATCGGGTGAGATAGAAAGTTGGTAGGATAGCCACGGTGTTCGACGGATGAACATCAAGCCTAAAGTTCACGACTTTGTCGAGTGGTGTTGAGTGGTGGACCGGGATGCTGGTTGCAAGAAGGAAAAAACGTTCGAAATGACAAGTGACTGATCATTTAAAGCCCTGAAACCGAAAAAAGCAACACGTACACTTGAACCGAAAGGTAACACCGTGCTGGTAGCTGGTTGTGCGCCGAACAGATTGGGTTTAGCTGCTGTGTTCTGTCCAAAAATGCCAGTAGTACCACCGAGACCAGTGGTTTGTTGGGTCTGACCAAAGGTGAATCCAGAGGGGGTCGCAGTGGCGGATGGTTGGGCGGTACCAAAGAGACCGGTGCTAGCCGTGTTCCCGTAGCTGGGGGCACCGAACAACGGTTTGGTACCGAAAACAGAGCCGGCTGAAGAGAAGGAGAGCGAGGATGTAGATTAACCAAACGTAGAAATTCGGATGCAGATGTCATCAATAATGTAATATGGGTTTTACGTAAAATAACCATAGTAACGACTCGTTATCTTTCGTTGGCAAGAAGCACACAAGGTAAACAGGAGAATCTTTCCACAAGTTCGCCGCAAATGACGGTGAAATTGCTCCTCTATTCTAACGACTGCGCTGGTGACAATATTACATATTTTACCTACGATTTGTACGACTGAGCACTGTCGGATATGGTCAGCAGCAATAGACGCGACCAACCCATCCAGAAAGACTGGTGGGGCAAGCATGATTAAGTTCATCAGTAAAGTTCTTTTCGTCTTTTTTGCAAATCGGCGGCCAACCAGTTGGCAGCTTCTTTAAATCAAACGTAGAGTTTATTAAACGCAACAGATGAGGAGGTGGGCAGCCGACGGATAGAGGAAAGACATAACAGCCAATGTATTAGGTTAAAGATCTGAAGATAACCCAGCCAGGCGTCAGATGGTCTGCCACCAAATAGCAACCGGTGTACGTCAGCCCGTCATCACCACCATCATTATTATCATTATCGATACACGTTAGCCGAGGGTGAGAAACACAACTCAGTCAATGTTCTGCAATGATAAAAGACAAGAGATTATGCAATAAAAATTAAAAGCTAAAAAGTAACAATGCTAGACATCACATTTGAGAGCGTTGTTAGAGGTGGTAGCTAAAGGAGAGGGGAGGAACAAAGAGACCCACAACACAAACACCAATGAGGTCGACTCGACTCTTCGCCATGTCAGCTAGTGTATCCCAACCTAATCCTTAATCTCATCAGTAATTTGTGGAGACATAATATTATTTAGCAAGGGTTGTGTACACAGCGTTGCATCGCGACAAGTGTTGTGTAATGTATTACTGACCGCCGCTATCTGCGGATCAACGCCAACATCTGATGGAACTACCGGTTGACTTAGGATGGTCCCATCAGATGTGGGCATTGATACGCAGGCAGTGGCGGTCAAAGAGACGTAACGCAACACTTGTCGCGATGCAACGCTATGTGGTTGGCAGCATCCGGTTTCGGATTTACCAGTCAGTGTGGCCAGCCACAGAACGCCTGCGCCCACAAAGGGACCAGAGATGGCTTGTGCTGCACCACGCACAGCTCCATACCCACAGCCGTAGCTTAAAGGTAACGAGAATGTCTGGTATTCTTGCGGCGCGGGTTCGAATCCGAGTAGGGATGGGCGTCCTCGTGGTATACTCAGCCCGCGTGCGACTGGTGGTGGTCGCACGGTAGCGAAGCGCAATTACGGCGTACAGCTAACACTACTACTACTACTACTACTACTACTACTACTACTACAACTACAACTACAACAACAACAACAACTACAACTACAACTACAACTACAACTACTACTACTACTACTACTACTACTACTACTACTACTACTACTACTACTACTACTACTACTACTACTACTACTACTACTACTACTACTACTACTACTACTACTACTACTACTACTACTACTACTACTACTACTACTACTACTACTACTACTACTACTACTACTACTACTACTACTACTACTACTACTACTACTACTACTACTACTACTACTACTACTACTACTACTACTACTACTACTACTACTACTACTACTACTACTACTACTACTACTACTACTACTACTACTACTACTACTACTACTACTACTACTACTACTACTACTACTACTACTACTACTACTACTACTACTACTACTACTACTACTACTACTACTACTACTACTACTACTACTACTACTACTACTACTACTACTACTACTACTACTACTACTACTACTACTACTACTACTACTACTACTACTACTACTACTACTACTACTACTACTACTACTACTACTACTACTACTACTACTACTACTACTACTACTACTACTACTACTACTACTACTACTACTACTACTACTACTACTACTACTACTACTACTACTACTACTACTACTACTACTACTACTACTACTACTACTACTACTACTACTACTACTACTACTACTACTACTACTACTACTACTACTACTACTACTACTACTACTACTACTACTACTACTACTACTACTACTACTACTACTACTACTACTACTACTACTACTACTACTACTACTACTACTACTACTACTACTACTACTACTACTACTACTACTACTACTACTACTACTACTACTACTACTACTACTACTACTACTACTACTACTACTACTACTACTACTACTACTACTACTACTACTACTACTACTACTACTACTACTACTACTACTACTACTACTACTACTACTACTACTACTACTACTACTACTACTACTACTACTACTACTACTACTACTACTACTACTACTACTACTACTACTACTACTACTACTACTACTACTACTACTACTACTACTACTACTACTACTACTACTACTACTACTACTACTACTACTACTACTACTACTACTACTACTACTACTACTACTACTACTACTACTACTACTACTACTACTACTACTACTACTACTACTACTACTACTACTACTACTACTACTACTACTACTACTACTACTACTACTACTACTACTACTACTACTACTACTACTACTACTACTACTACTACTACTACTACTACTACTACTACTACTACTACTACTACTACTACTACTACTACTACTACTACTACTACTACTACTACTACTACTACTACTACTACTACTACTACTACTACTACTACTACTACTACTACTACTACTACTACTACTACTACTACTACTACTACTACTACTACTACTACTACTACTACTACTACTACTACTACTACTACTACTACTACTACTACTACTACTACTACTACTACTACTACTACTACTACTACTACTACTACTACTACTACTACTACTACTACTACTACTACTACTACTACTACTACTACTACTACTACTACTACTACTACTACTACTACTACTACTACTACTACTACTACTACTACTACTACTACTACTACTACTACTACTACTACTACTACTACTACTACTACTACTACTACTACTACTACTACTACTACTACTACTACTACTACTACCATGCACACACCCCATATCCAGTGTAACGCACGGAGGCATGTGGATGGGAGCCACATTTCATCAACGGAGCCGGCCCACACAAGCACGCTGTATTTGGGAATCAAGCGCACACAAAGTAGTGGCTGGACCGTAGTCCGGTCCACACTGGGTGCATGGAACCACTCTTCGAGCCTAGCACGGCCATAAGGACAGTGCACCCTGTCCGCTCCAGCAATGACCAACTGTCTCCTGGAGCCAGTATGGACGAGATAGTAGGTAATAGGCAGGTAGGCACCTTGTCAACATGCACATCAAGCGCAGTCACACCGGGGATATCAACCAACAGCCAATCGTTTGAGACGACGATATGAAACAAAATAAATCGAATAATGCATGCAGATACGGTGACATAACTCTTCACTAAATGAGCATATAAAATAAATTGGTTGCCAACAAATCCGCGATAGGTTCAAGACGTCAGAAAATATATTTTAAGAAAATGCCACAAACGCGAAAATGTTATCGAAGTTAACTACAATTAGCTTAAACAACGTGTGCAAGTTGACAGAAGATAGTTCAAGTAGACATTAATATGGGATTAAAAAAACAGGACAATTAGCAAACCCACCACCTGAAATAAAGAGACTCAGCATGCAAGCACGCGGTTAGTAAATCGAATGCAGCGTACCTACAAACGCTGCGCCAGTTAGGCCTACGTTCTCAGCAGGACTCGTCGTGGTTTCGGCGGTGGCCCCGAGTGGCCTCGCTCATGGCTCACTAGGCCTGACTGGCCCAGGCAGGCGCGACCGCATGTGCTACAACACCATGCGCTCGATGTCAATGGAATACAAACCATCGGCACCTGCCGCTTCTTCTCCGCATGCATGAGGGCTTTCTCCTGCACCTCGGTAACTGCCTTCGTGATCAGACCGCGCCATGCACGCCGATCAACCGCCTTCGATTCCCATGACCTGCAATCAAGATTAGAACGTGAGAGGCTCATTTTGATCATGTCCTGGTAACGAAGCTTCGGTTTCCCCACATGCCGCTTCCCAACACTCAGATGAACATATAATAGCAGCTTTGGTATCCGCGTCGAATCCATACGGCTCACATGACCGAGCCACCTCAGGTGTCTCAGCAAAAGTATGCAGTCCTCTGCATACATACAACTTCGACGCAACACTTCCGTGTCTGCAACTCTGTCGCCCCAAACGATGTGCAAAATTCGTCGCAAACACTGTTGATGGAACCGCTCGAGATATTGCACATCCTGCCGGTACATCGTCCATGTTTCACTGCCGTATAGAAGAACGGACAGCTCCATGGATTTGTACACCATCAGCTTCGTGACAACGGTAAGCCGATGGTTGTTCCACGCTCGGTACTCTAGCTTCCCGAATGCCGCCGCTGCCTTCGATACGCGGATACGAAGCTCCTTGTGTATCTGCTGGTCAGTCGACATCACACTCCCAAGGTAGCAGAAGCGGAAGGTGGTTTCCAATACTTCAGCACCAATGCTGATTCGCGGCAATATTGAAGATTGCACCTCCGGTGAAGGCTGAGAGACAGATAGTTTTGCTTGTGTTGATGGTGAGCCCGAATTTGGCCGCTGTCGAAGCCAGAGCACTAGTCATGTGCTGCAACTCATCCGCGCTGTGTGCAAACAACGCACAATCGTCAGCAAACAGCAACATTCGGATAGTTGTCTCACAGACTAGAGTTCTCGCACCGAAACGACGGATGTTCAGCAACCCACTATCAATACGGTGCTCCACACGAACACCGTAAGCACAAGCCGCATCAAAAGCACAAGACAACATTGCATGAAGATAGATATTAAACAGGGCAGGAGCTAAGACACAGCCTTGCTTCACACCAGAGACAACTGCAAAGGCATCCGAGATCTCTCCATTCAGCTGCACCCTCGCCCGCATACCACTGTGCAAACATTCAATTAAAGCTACAAAATACGCGGTCAACCAAATTTACCCACACCAGCCACAATGCCTCGCGGTTCACCGTATCAAATGCCTTGGTGAAATCAACAAAAAGCGAGTACAAAGGCTGGTGTCGTTCTCTTCACTTCTCCTGCAACTGACGAGCCGCAAGCACCATTTCGATGGTGCTGCGACCCGAACGGAATCCACATTGCTCTTCCGCCAAGTTAGGTTCCACAACCTGACTGACGAGACGGTTGAGCAGGATTCGGGCAATCACCTTGCTCACACAACAAAGCAAGTTGATACCACGATAATTCGTATAACATTGCTCGCTCTCTTTGCCCTTGTACAGTGGTAGCACAAGGGTATCCTTCAGCTCAGGAGGTACCTCCTCAATCCACACGCGTTGTACAGTGGTGCAGCACAGTCTCCAACGCTGGCCCGGCGTGTTTCAACACTTCACGCGGAATCCTGTCGGCATCGCCACACTTGCCGTTTTGCAACTGACCAAGTGCTCGGCGCCTCATGCAGTGTCGGCATGTCCGTCAGACTCGCCTTCACACAACGCTATGTACACAACCCTTAATAGACAATAGTATGTTGTCTTCACAAATTACTGATGAGATTAAAAATCTCACAACGCTAACTGACACGCGTAGTACCCAGCTGAGCGAGCTGGCCCACTAGTTCTAGTAGGAATACAGTGCAACTGTTTTACGTAAGCACTTAGCATTTTGAAAGTGAAAAGCACGCATCGAAGTTTGCAATATGCTTAAAAACGGTTTCATGCAAGTTAAATGCTAATAAACGAGAAATATTTCGTGCGAGCACTCTCGTGGCTTACTCCCCAGTTCGAATCATCATCATCATCAACAGCAGTACATCAGCCATTTGAACCGATGCTTCGCTGCTATACAATCATGAGGACCTATGAAACAAAGAATAAGAAGAGGGACAGAACGTGGACTTACCTGAAAACCTTAATGCCATAACCCAACATTCAGGGTCAAGGTGCCTACACCTTGTGTACACAACATACCGTCACAAACAGCTGGCTATCGTGCAAAGATAAGGCGGCATCGGCGAGACAGCTTCCTTGCGGCTTTCACTGCCACGCGTCATAATCAGCCATTACCCCGAAGATAACTCAGCACCAAACACACTTTAAACAAGCAATCCGATTAGGAGATGGCAGCAGACGCGCCACTGGTGTCTACTGCGAGCCATGTTCTGTAAAGTCTCGAGCCAAGCACAAGGCGAGTCACGTGGACTCCAGCCCGGAAGGCGAGACGGACCAACGGCACCCAGTTTGGTCGTCAGTGTCTTCATTCCCCGTTGCCAAGTCAACTTCTGTCCACCGCGAGCCTTGCGCCACCCTACATCTGGCAGACTAAACAACGCCCTCCTAGGTAAGCGGTGACCAGGCATACGTAGCACGTGCCCGAGCCAACGCAACTTATTCAGTGCTATCTGTTGTTCTAGGGAGCTAGCATGATTATCATTACCTAGTACTCGCCTACGCACATCATCGTTGCGGACACGCTGGTGCCATCAGACTCCAGCAATGCTTCGCAGACAACGATGATCAAAGACTTGAAGGCGCCTCAGCTCTTCAAACCGAAGGGGCCAAGTCTCACTACCATACAGCAGGACGGCCCTCACTGTGGCCTTGTATACCCGGCCTCTCAGAGGAAGGGAAACACCCTTCTGTCGCCAAAGATGCCGCAGGTTCAAGAAGGTGGCTCTGGCTTTTGCAATGCGTGAGGTGACGTCAGTTTCTATGCGCCCATCATTGCTGATGCAGCTGCCAAAATAAGTGAAATGATCAACCACCTCGAGTTCCTCGTTAGCAAGCGTCAAGGGGTCATCAAGTGGCTGGTAGTCCTGCAGCAATACTTTGCACTTTGAAGGTGCGAAGTGCATACCAAATAATGGGACCACTCTGGACAGGCTATTCAGGGTTGAATGGGCCGCCGCAACATCGTCGAAAAGCAAGACGATATCGTCCGCATAATCTAGATCAAGTAACCAGTTCGAAGGAGGCAGACAGTATGATTGTGAATGGTCTCGTAGATAACAAGTGAGAAATAAAAGATGAACAAAAAAGGACAGCTCCTAGTATACCTTGGAAGACGAGTATAAAAATTCCGGGATAGGAATAAACTTTTACGGAACGGACGATAACGAAATAAAGCATCACAGGCAAGAGTGGTAGGGTGAATCGAAAACAGATTATAAACTAAGATGGTTGTGGTACACCGTCTGCATGTGTGACGGTTTTAAAGCCCTCGACGAAAAATAAAGTGAAGGACAATGCAAACTCTAATGATAAGCAACCGGTCTGGTTTTGATGGTTTAAACCTTTTCGGTAAACCAAGGAGGTGCCGAATTAAGGTACCTGCGAGAAAACGTGAAGCGGGCTAAATCCATGATGATTTTCACATGAAGATCAAGTGGCTTTTGTAAGGATGACGATTGTATGAAAGCATCAACACGACGCAGTGTGTTGCTGAAGAATACGAGCAAAACAGCTGAACGAATAAAAGGCGGGTCACAATCGATTTTAGGGCCGATAAGAAGGTTGTCAAACCCACATCTTTTGTTTCGCCAGTCTGTAAAGATGCAAGTTCATTTCGGATTTCCGTGGATCTAAGAGATCTGACATCAAGGTCTCAGAGGTTCAATTAGTTCGGCAAGCGCGGTAGTAGCACAGAGGGCCAGTGGAACAATTCTCAAAAAGTTTGTCTAGCATTAAAACAGATGAACCTGCGAGTTGATTAAAATCACTCGGTGTCATCAGTGCTTGGGCCACAAATGATTCTCAGTGATAATTGCTTCCAGAATTTTAAATTTCACTGCCATACACCGGTGCTTTAGATAGATTTTGAATACCCCGTTCAGAAACCGTTTCATGTTGTTTCCAGTAACTAGTGACACCAATTTCAGCGATACAACTGAACCAATCAAAGCTCCAGAAAGTCCAAGCTAAGTGGGTAGGCGGCATCGGAAGCCCCCTTCATTCCGCTCTATAAGCCAGTGCAGCCGGAATACGATACAACTACTTTATTGAGGGTAACTGAAGTAGCGACCTGGATTGGTAGTTTCCTAGCGAACCTTAGATTTCAGTAACGAATGCCACATTGAAGCACAGAGCGCTGCGTGAGCGCGCGTCAAAGTATGATGGGAAACGGGGCGCTATGGCCTCACACTGGGTAACTGCTCCAGATCAGTAGATAGCTCTGGACTGATATGTGCCATCTGCAATTTGGTTTGAGAGAAACGATCGGCTCGGTAGGTGTCTAGCGACACCATGTGGGCATTTGTGTTGAAAAGCGGTAATACTGACGACGCAAAGGAAATAACCAAAATAGCCGAGAAAATTGTCAATACTATTATTTTAGTAAGAGTGGGTCCCGAAGCAACCTACAACTCGGCGTTAGGCTCCGACGCGTTCGAAGTAGAATTACACCAGCGACAATGGCAACACCGCCATCGAGGATCACGAAGCTGCGGCCTGCTGCCATTTACACCGACGGCATGGCCACCAACAATTCTGTCGAAGATCAGGAGTCCAGCCGTGTACACGCGGTCGTTCAGAGATTCATCTGAGGTTGCCATCGGTGCCGCAAAAACCACGATCTAGTGAATCAGCCTAATGGCGAACCTCTTCAGAAAGTGAACTAAATAAGCGAACAGCAGTCAAAACGTTGCTGCATTTTGGTTCGCGGGTTACAGAAGTAAAGTACCCATAAATCCCGGGTGTATGACGAAAGGTAGCTCATCCCGTCAACGGATGATAGAGGCAACCAATATGGAATAAGATCGATGGTTTGATAAGCGGAGTTGAGAGACAGTTAGGGTTACGAAGCCGGAGTCGATCTCCTGCTGGTTAGTCTAAGAAAAAATATGAAAGGTATGGAAAAAAGAGGGAGGACAAGAAGACCGTGATGGAGTTTTGTGGACAGATAATACCCTCCAGGTGCCCATTCCGTTATAGGTACCACCGTCCTGGGGGCACATAGCACGAAGACAGTTGAATGTTGCTGGTGACCTTGCAGTAGAATTCCAGGCGTGATGATGTAGAACGACCGAAGGGAGGGACTACATGTAAAGTTCGCCATATCGCACAGCACCGCTTTGCCACAGTGAGGCAGTGAAACATCCGATAAACGGAAATATGGTTGGCGGTATCTGGTTCCAGATGTGCCTGTCACTGCGGCTTCATGGGAACAGCCACAGGATGCCTGCGCCTACAGAGGGACCATAAATCGCCTGCGCTGCACCACGCACAGATCCATCCGCACACCCTATATCTAGTGTAAACCCAGAGATAACGAGTGTGATTATGGAAAGTCATAGTGTGCAAGGATTTTGTTGAGAAGTAATAGTCATGAGCCGAAACGTAGCAGGATCATTTTCATGAACATCCAGTGCATTTCACAATCCAAGTATAGCTTAATATGAGCTGATAGCAATTGCATAAAATTGGACTACAATAAAAATGATGAACAATAGTGCTCCTTATTAAAAGTGAACTATGTCGGAACGCAGTATCTCGCTACGATTTATTTGGTTAGCCATACGACAGGGGAAAGCCAAAGCAAAGATAATGGTAAAACACGTCGCACTGACTTTGGCTGGTCTGACCGAAAGAGAATCCACTGGGCTGAGCAGCAGGCGCGGTGCCAAACAAATTGGTTGGTTGTGATGTGGCGCCGAATGGGGGCTTCAGGCCCAAAATGCCGCCTAAACGAAAGGAAATAAGTCAACTCGTTGAAGGACAGTGAGGCAAACAATAAATCAACATCTAAATTAACCGCTAGTAGAAGTCAATACAGAAGACAGAATAGACTCTTACTTTGTGATTGTGCTGGCTGACCAAAGACCGACGAGACAGTTGTTGTTGCTGCACCAAACGTGAGACCACTTCCACCGAACAGAGTGTTTGACGGTTTACTCGTTTGACCAAAAATGGACCCAGCACCGGTAGTTTGTGCCGCACCGAATTGAAAAGGCTTTACAGCAGTCGATGCACCAAACAGAGATGAAGAAGTGCTGGTGGTAGCCCCCGGACCATTTTGGCGATTAAGGGCGTAGTCTTCTGCTCTTAATTCCTAAAGTCAAAGGCGATTCGATAACGAAGTATGCTAATCAGTTACTATGGGTAATACACAAGATATGTGTGATAGAACGAGCGCAACAAAAAACTGCATAAGAGGAAAAACCGTGCACTTGCAGTCTGTTTCATCAATGTGTGCCTCAGCATACAAAACGATTTCAAAAGTCAATAATACACATCCATCGTTGACGGAATAAAGAAGACCAGCGCAATGCAAGACAGGAATCGTGGTGAAATCATTAGATTGACGATGATACTAGGTAAAGTGCAAACATCTATTCCTCAGATGTTTTCAAATGGATACAGTTTAATTACGAGCTGGACAGATAAGGCACCGAGGTGGGAAGTCAAATCATGTATAAACAAGTTGCGACCAATTAGAATGCAGAATGTGCTACCTGCGCATGGTTGATATGAACAAATGAAAACATCGTAACTTAGACAAGCAACACTCAATTACCCGAATGAAGCGGAACAGGGTACATTGGTAATAAGTGAAATAAAAGTTAAACGAATGAAGAAGATAGTTGATGATAAGAAGTGCAAGGAAACCAAAGAAAAGAGGTCAAACGAGTAGGTAAGAAATGGGACAAAAGGAATTAATTCGCTTGATATTCAGAGAGCCAGTGGGTAGAGAGTAGGTTCTCATCAAACGGGGCAAGCAGAAAGTTTTAAATCAACTGTTGAGTGCAGACGCGACCAACAGGTTCCAACTAGCAGCTAATAGTCAAAAAGTTCATACAACCATTCTAACCTCCGCTTGCCAAAGGAATCCAGATTAAGGTATGTACCAGTATGGTTATGTGATTGACTGTAAGTTGGATGATACCCCATGCTCATACACTCATGAGCATTCCCAATTGGTAGAGTGAACCAGTTCGCTATCAGTGGACATCACTCAAACCAAGTGAAGGCAGCAAACAAGAAACCAGTGTGTATACCCACCTCAAGGCTTTTATCTTGATACTCCTTCATCGCTGTGATGCACATGTGCTTCGCATTTACTTGTGTGGATTGACCAGCGCGTTGGAGAGTATCTGGAGCTATTGGTGGGTTAAAAGGTATGGATGTTCCACCGGACGCCACACCAGGAATCGCAGCTGTGCCTCCCCATGACATTGTATTGGTTTGCGTAGGACCACCAAAAAGAGCCGGGGTGGAACTGCCTATACCACCAGTAGCCTGACCAAATATGCTAGTGTTTTGGCCGGCTGTAGATCCAAACAGAGTACCGGAAGCTATATAAAAGAACATTTGTGATTACCATCAAGAAGTAGGAATTACTCTGTCCAAAAGCGGAGCTTGCGGGTGCACCAAAGGTGGCTATAAAACCTGAATGAGAGATGCAGAAAACTCACTTTTTGATCCACCGAACATTCTGCGGGAAGTTGCGAAGAAATGTTCAACAGGTAAAAAGCGATTTCAGAGAAAAATGAACAAGCTAAAACTAGAAAAACCAGCAGAAATGTATGAGCACAGAAAATATGTGAAGCAATGGCAATGAAAAAAACACATGGGAGCGGAAGGAGAATCTAGAGAAGGTCTTCAAACGGCTCGAGTTGTAAAATGTGTCATATGAATATGCTAATAAGTAGAATAAAGTTGTGGACATAAGTGAGAACTTCATGTTTGTTATAAACACTCAATCTACCCGAAGTATGGACCTACAGCAGTCTGATAATGTTTACGTATTTATCGGGCACAGCTTTCCTTAGCAGACAGTCCCAAAGAGCACATCGATCTACCGAATCGAATACGAGTACGGTGGGTCACCAATAAATATGGCGGTGTTCCAACAATTGGCATAAGGATGTGATCATAAAGTCTCGATTTCGAGGAAAACCGGCTTGCTGCTTGCAAATATGGCTTTCATGGGTGCCAGTCAGTATGTAAAGAAAGAGACACAAGCAACTTAGGGGCAGCTTGAGATGAGACTGGTTCCTCTATGCCGCATTCTGAATGTGAGCGTCTGTTGAAAATGGGGATTATAATGGATCGGCTCTAGTTTGCTTGGACAGTCTTCCGCTTCCACCGTAATGTGTTACTATGAGCAATAGGCTACCAGTTTTTTTATTACATTATATTTACTAGTTCCCTTTTCTATTGTGATTCTCACCTCAGATAATATGTTCTGATGATGACAGTTTCACTAGAAAGTTTTGCAACTCATCTACGAGAGATGCTAGAGGAGGACAGTCTGTTCCTGCGGTCTTCTTCAAATTCAACGTTCTGATCTCATGTTCGACTAATGCATGTAAGGGCCGATTCAAAGAAACAACGCAACGTTCGGAAGTGAAGATGAGAATTCAAGTTGGCCAAACTACATTGCAAACTGTCCAGTCAACGGTCCAAACCTTTGACAAACTGCGGATTGGCTGTCCACTCTCGTCGCGTATGGTCTCGGTATCACAAGGTCTCCTGCTGCCCGTTTCCCGCGTCAGACAGAATAACTTCCGATGGTTACTAACGGTAGTGGCTGTTTCCACCTTCGACGCACGATAAGACCACCAGGCTTCGCGGTCCGTCCTCCGGCTAGCATGGGGTTTTGCTATGAAGCTTTTACGAGTCTGGTTGTGTTCGCACGCAGCCGAAACATGTCGGCATGCATCTAGTTCCAGAGACTGTGTAATGGCCAAATCTTCAGGTTGGCAATTTGATTTGCCGCATGAAGACATGCCTGGTGATAGTAACATCTGCTAAATATGCGACCAGTGATCATCAACTGTGTTCAGTGGGCGCTTACTCAGCGTGGATACACGAGTACTTTGATAGGCAGTTAAAACATCTTGTTTCGCCAGTTGGCTGGTGTCTGTGCTCACAACGTCGTTGCGGACGTTCGCCGAAGCGCACCAGCGGGTCGGCGTAAACAAGTGCGTAGTCAGAGTCCACGCTTGTGCTTTCAATTGATCGATACTTTTGGACAGCCTATCTAGTAGCAACTGGTAGCGATGCGATCGATTTGAATCCATGAGTGATGGGCGCCAACTCACTCTTCTGCGGGTGCTGTATCGCGTTAGTGCTCGTGAGAAGTAGACGAGCATCTTCACATAGAGCAACCGCTCATGGTTATTACGGGAGCCTACACTATGTTGACCACCCAGATGCAGCTCATCAGCGGAAAGTATTCCGATTTGGGCGTTCAGATTACCAGCAGGCATCCCAGTATCCTTATTTTGTCCGTAACGTAGAAACTTGTTAAGTCGGTGATAGAAGTCATCTTTCACCGATTCAGTACTAGAGTTTGTGGGAACGTATGTAGTAATACTAAATAAGCACCGTTTGTTCTCGATCGACCACAAAACTTTGAACTAGCCGGCTAATCTAAAGGCGCACACCCGGCTGTTGACTGGGATGCAGTCGGTTCGGACAGCTACAGACCGGATGACTCAGAGCAATGCCCAGATCGGTTTGAGCGGTCGCTGAAGCTGCAGCAGTAGTAGTTGTAGCTGTGTCCACTCCGGATAAACACAATGAGAAGGTGCCACCAGTGTCGCATGTGAGGGGTCGCATGGAAAGCACAGAACTCGAATCATGCAGGCAGGTTTCCGATACACAGTAGATATCGACCGATAGGGTCTCTAGTGTTCGCCATTCTGTAACAAAGTGCGCACGTTGAGGCTTGCCAGTCTTAGCGAGGATCAAGGGCTCTAAAGAGGAACGGATGCATTGACAAGATGAGAGAGGGCCAAGAATTGGGGGTTGAAAACAGAGGGGATAAAAGCGAAGTTGGAGCGTGACGATAAAGATGAAGGAGCGCTAGATGGGAGATAAGAAATTGGGAAGACCGGAGCAGTAGCAGCCTCACACCGGACCAACCTGTTCGATGCCACAAATATGGCATCATTAATTATCATCTGAGACAGTCAGCGCCTCAGGAAATTACTTGCAGAGAGATTAATTGTATTGCATTGCGTAGGCAGGTTGACCAGGTTTACACACGAGAACAATTAGGGTTCTCAACCAGGTTATGATTCAAAAATCTGATCACAAGGCATCGGAGTTTGGTATTTGAATTCCGTTCTATGAAGTAAGCGGCCACCCCCACTCTCACCACTAAACTGGATCATCGTCATCATCATCACCATCAGCATCACCAACAGCAGTACATCAGCCATTTGGAGCGATGCTTCGCTACCATACAACCACGATGACCTATGAAATAAAGAAGAGGAAGAGAAGGAGGACTTACCTGGAAACCTTAATGCCTTAAACAAACATTCAGGTTCAACGCGCCTACACCCTGTGTAGACAAATGCTGGCTATCGTGCAAATTTAAGGCGGCATCGGCGAGACAGCTTCCTTGCGGCTTTCACTGCCACGCGTCATAATCAGCCATTACCCCGCAGATAACTCAGCACCAAACACACTTTAAACAGGCAATCCGATTAGGAGACGACAGCAGAAACGCCAATGATGTCCGTTGCGAGCCATGTCCTGTAAAGTCTCGAGCCTAACAAAAGGCGAGTCGCTTGGACTCCAACCCGGAAGGTGAGAAGGACCAACGGCACCCAGTTTGGCCGTCAGTGACTTTATTTCCCGCTGCCAGGTCAACTTCTGTCCACCTCGAGCCTTGCGCCACCCTACAACTGGTAGACTGAACAAGGCCCTCCTAGGTAAGCGGTGACCAGGCATACGTAGCACGTGCCCGAATCAACACAATTTATTCAGTGCTATCTGTTGTTCTAGGGAGCTAGCATAATTATCACTACCGAGTACTCGCCTACGCACATCATCGTTGCGGACATGCTGGTGCCATCGGACACCAGCAATGCTTCGTAAACAACGATGATCAAAGGCTTGAAGGCGCCTCAGATCTGCTGACCGAAGGGACCAAGTTTCAGTACCATAGAGCAGGACGGCCCTCACTGTGGCCTTGTACACACGGCCTTTCAGACGGAGGAAAATTCCCTTATATCGCCAGAGATGACGCAGGTTCAAGAAGGCAGCTCTGGCCTTTGCAATGCGTGAGCTCACGTCAGTTTCTATGCGCCCATCGTTGCTGATGCAGCTGCCAAGATAAGTGAATAGATCAACCACCTTGAGTTCCTCGTTAGCAGGGGTCAAGGAGTCATAAAGTGGCTGGTGATCCTGCAGCAACAATTTGCACTTTGAAGGTGCGAAGTGCATACCAAATAATGGGACCACTCTGGACAGGCTATTCGGAGTTGATTGTGCCGCCGCAACATCGTCGAAAAGCAAGACGATATCGTCTGCATAATCAAGATCAACTAATCTTTCACCAGGCAGCACTTCAGCGTCTACATGGTGAGATTCCGCAATAGAACACTCCAGGATAGAATCCAGGACGTAATTGAACAAAAGTGGGGAAATCGGACAACCCTGACGAACGCCACTTGCAGTAGGAAAGCTATCCGATAGGCCACTGTAGACCCTGACGCGGCGTGTAGTGTTCGAGCATAGAGCACGAAAGATGTTCACATATTCCGTGGGAACACCTTTCCGCGCAAGTATTTCGAACAGAATCGATCGATCGACTGAATCGAACGCACTCTTGAAATTGAGGAACACAGCTATTGTCGGTCTGCGATATGAGTGGCGCTGCTATAGCACCTGCCGCATAGTGAATATATGGTCTATACAGCCACGTCCTGGACGGAAACCAGCCTGATCTTCCCTAATCCGAGATTACCGTTCCGCAGTGAGGCGACGAACGATAATCGAGGCCAATAATTTTGTCACAATTGGCGTTAGGCTAATACCCCTGTGGTGAGAGCAGTCTGTGTGACTGCCCTTCTTGTATATTGCCACTATAATCGATTCGCTCCAATTAGTCGGGACGCTCTCTTCTTTCCAGACATACTCGAATAAGGAGGTCGGTGCTTTGCAGAGGACCTCACCTCCATCCTTAAATAGTGCAGGTGGGAGGGAATGAATGCCAGCGGCACGAAAACGATTAAGGGCTGTGATCCTGGTTAGGACTTCGGCCTCCGACGGAGGCTCTAAACTAACCGTCCATGGCTCGTCCTGCATCACCTGAGTAGGAAGAGGTCCGGGAGCAGGGGGCCAGCTGAACTGATCTTAAAAGTATTCCGCCCAAAGAACCATACGGCGCTCCTTATTGTGTATCAGTGCACCCGTGCTGTCTCTGATTGTCTCACTGACGCCTTGTTTTCTGGGACCAGTAGTGCGGATTAGCTGGAAGAGATTGTGGTAATTGCCTACTGCTCATGCCTCCTTCATTTCTTGAGCCTTACTGGTCCACTAGGCTTCCTTGTCAGCACGTAGGCTCCGCTTTAGTTCACGCCTAATAACCCGTCTGGTCACATTGTGCTCAAAGTCAGTCGGAAGGTTTCTTCTAGATTCCAACAGGTTCACCGACCTCTCGGATATCCAGTGACTGGTGCGGTGACGATGGATAGTGCCATTTCAAACCACTAACCTGGAGGACCAGGAGACTGAGTTTGTCTGACCTCGCACCATTGACCA